CTCCTCCATCCTGGCTCATATATTATTAGCCATGCTTTCTGATCAGACCTCATACTGTCAATGTAGTTTTCCTGAACCCTGCTCTCTTTACCTTACTACCGAAAGCATCTAGCATGGAACAACAGATATTCAGCTAGCACAAAAACTGACCCACAGCTCCCTTTCTCAATACAGTTAGATGAACTGCTATCCCAAATGTCTGCAAGGTGTTTTGTTCTATTTATGCAATGGCTTCATAAGCCTAGTTGGTTAAGGCTGGACACAGATATAATCTTTATGCAACCCTATACAACAGTTATAGCAGGTGATCTGGGAAGGTTATGGCCAATCTTTCAGATGTATGTATCCCACTGGAAAGCCTCATGTGGTATCTTCTTGAACTAAATCACTTGTCATTTAGGAAAGAGCATTTTTATACAAGTGTTTCAACTGATACTAATATGATATTATGGACAAGTATTGAGTTTAAATTACTTACTTACTCACTCATGGAGCTGAGCCCATCTGGAGGAGCCGCCAATTCTACAGCTACTCAAGAATTTCCCAGCATTTTATGGAACCCGAAGGTTCATCACCGTGTTCATAAGAGCCCTCCACTGGTCCCTATCCTGAGCCAGATCTATCCAATCCATACCATCCCATCCTGTCTCCATTCTAATATTGTCCACCCACCTACACCTTGGTCTTCCCTGTGGTCTATTTCCTTCTGGCGTTCCCACCAATATCCTATACACATTCGTCTCCCCCATTCATGCTACATGACCTGCCCACCTCATCTTCCTTGGCTTGATCATTCTAATTATACTTGGAGGAGAGTACAGGTAATGAAGCTCCTCACTGAGTTGAAATTATATTTTGAAAATGTATATTTCATTGTAACGACCATGTATAGATCAAATTTTAGATCAAATCATACCAGTCTGCAAAATAAAAATGAAGAATAACCACAGTCTCATTATGTGTTTATGATAAATCATGGCATTACAAACTAAACCAAGTCCAACAAATTACATGTGAATGTCATAAGACTTTTCATCAGTGTTAAATTTAAAATACTGTACACTAAATATCTATTCTTAATTTGTGAAAATATTTCTTAAACTGGCACCTTTTGAACTGATAACCATTTAATATTATTACATATCACATGTCACAAAACAGAGAAACAGGAGCATATATGCAAAAACACAAGTAAAGCAAGTGGCTGATATATCAAAGTTAAAGCAAACATGAAAAGCAATATAGAAAACTGAGAACATTAACATAATTATAGAGCATTCGCTACTAACACAGGATATGTAATTTAAAAAATATTAAAATTTACTTCCAAATTTACCTCATAACAAATAAATCTGATATCTGAATCACATACTCATCATTAACTGTTTACTCTTTCTGTGTGACTGCTGTTCAGAATGATGTTAAACAATGACAAACAATATAAAATCAAATGCCAGTGACAATATTAAATCTGTAGGAAATATGTAGGAAATAGGGCTCATTTTAATCATACATGTTACATACAAAATGCATATCTAGTACCATTATGCTGTTAAAAAGGAAATATATGTCTTTACTATTTCTTGTCCAAAACAATAAGTCGAGAAATATACACTAATCACAGACAGCAACACTGGCATTCAACTGAAGTAAGGGAAGTGAGGCTAAGTAGGAATTTCTTTTTCTCAGCTTGGCAGTAAGGTCTTGGGGGGGGGGGACAGAAATATAACTTAGAGAAAACCAACTGATTTGCAACCACAGCATAGCACTAAAACAAAACAACTGTTTCCTGACTTATGGTTCTACTCTTAACTCAACTTAACTGAACACGGTCATGTGAAATGATAAACTCTATTATTTTATACTCTTCAGATATAAGTTACATCATATTAATATAAAATAAGTTAATACTGGAAGATGTGTATAAAGTATATAAGAAGTATGAAAAGAAAAAAAATGTACTAAGGTGCAGGAGCATGAAAGCACTCACCACTGATTTGGTACATTTTTTAAATTATGAAATTTTATTGGGTTTAATACCACCTACACTATTAGCAGGAGTGCTTGTGCTATGTCACCATACAAATTTCACATGTCAGATCATAATAAATGCAAGGGTTATTATATCACGCTTAGGAAAAAAGAAAAACCTTACATAAGTGATATTTACACCATTAATAAGAAAGCTCTCAAAGTTTCTGCAAGAGCTGACATATCTCCAACCTTGACCACAAGGTCTCCTTCATGCTGTCTTGTCAGTACAGCAGCAATTCAACAGCAGAAAGTACCAACACAACATGCAAGACACCTTGTGACCAAGGCTGCAGTTATGTTTACTCTTGCAGAAACTTTGAGAGTTTTTTTACTAATAGTTAAGTTTCACTTCTCTAAATCCACCAGTTCTTCTGTAACAAATGTTTCAAAGAATAAAGATATCAGTTACTAAGAATGCCATCTTCTGGAATGTAGTGCCATGTAGATCTTGCTTCAACTGATGTTTTGGAGGTGTCTGCAGCCACTTGCTCAAGCTCGTTCCTCACTCATAGATTTCTCTACCCTGAAGATGGCGATATGTTCCTCTGAAACGTCGGTTCACACAGTATCTACATGGTGCCACATCCCAGAAGACGGCATTCTTCATAGTCACTGCCATGAAAACCTCAAATCTTACATCTCAGTTATTATTTAATATATTTTCCACAGTTACTATGCTAGTATATTTTCAAAAATACATGAATAGTGACTGTTTCCAAAAGATCTACTGCCATACAAAACTTCACAATCCCATATGGAAAGGAGCTAATGCTCCTCTACCTCACAAATTTTCACAACTCCCTTGTCAACACTGTCGACATAAAATCTGAAGTACAAGATGGGAAGATCTTCAATGGCACAATGTTCATACTGAGTTTCATGAAAATCTGTCAACTGACATTGATAATACTAACATTCATATTTCAATCATGGAACAGACAGACAGACAGAAAGACACAAACAGTTTCTTGCTAATATAGTTCTGAAGAAGGACCTTCATTTATTTGGAATGCTACAAATAGACACTGTTCCTCAAACACTGCATAGTTAAGTGCAATACCATTATAATAATCCTTGCTGTTATCAGAAATGATACATTATAAACACAACTAAGTAAAAATTTACACTTACCTCCATGATATCTCAGATTTTCGCCAATAACACACATACTTTTTCATAACTGCCAAAATGTTTGGCACTTTTTTAATGCATTCTGGCCTCAGTTGTCTAATAGTCTCTTAAGTTATCACTGGTGCATATTGTTACACACCAAAGCTATCTTGTGTACATTAAAAATTTGGCAGAATTACTGAGGCTAAAGCACTTTCTATAAGCCCCTGTTTAAAAATCTCAGACTGGACTTAATTAGGGCTTATATACTGCACTAACATTGAAGGAGGAATACAAAATGAGCTGGTGTTTATAAAAAATAACCAAGTAAACATTTCCAAATGCATACTCTTTTGTGACTTTAATAGAGCACTACATTAAAGAAAAACACTTACTGTTAGTTCCTCGGAACTTTAGCCATGGTAGAGGGGTCATACCATCTCTCGTGGGGCTGGGTGAGCAGGCTTATCAGCTTGCGTAAGTGTGGGTACTACCACTTTGCAATGTAGAGTCTTGGAGTGTGGTCAGGTGTATAGTACATTGTGTTGCTTGTTAGTTGGTACCAGTCATAGCGACTGTATTATGTGGTGTTCGTGTCACTATCATGGCACACTGACAATCACATGGAACAGTTCATAGTGAGGCCAGGTAAGTAATAGCTAACGATTTCCGCTCGGGGAGTAGCTCTGAACGTCACCACAGCAAGCATACAGTTTCGCGTGCTCCACAACAGCGTTTACCTTTCTGCATAGCTAAAGTTATGAGGCACTAACTAACTTAACCTCTATCAACAGAAGAATATAATTACATAATAATATCAATGCTACATGCAATATGGCTCAAAGGCATGTTGCAAAGTGTTGATAGAGTTAGTAAATACATTGAAAGACCTGCTCGTTGAACTGTAACAGTAACATATTTGCATCATAATTACAAAGCAGTGTTTCCCTGACTCCCAAACAAGTCTGTGAATTAAATTGGATACAGATTTGTTCAAAACTGCAATATATACAGAACAGCATCCTACAACTCCCTGAACAGAAATGGTTGGTGACCAAAATATTACTCATTAATAACTGGCATGCGCATACATGCACAAGCATATGCATGCCTGAGCACACACACACAAACTCAACTGTGGGAAATTATGGATGACTTATGAATTATGAGACTTCTCCAAGCTAAAAATTTCTGGACAGTTCACATTTCAACGGTCACTTTCACAGTGCTGGATGCCAAAGAACTGTAAGGAGACATGGTTCTTGGCAGCTATAATTTTCCGAATAAGTAGTGAATGTGCTTGTTCAGCACAATACATATACATATGAAAATATGTGAGTCTTGAGGAAGTAAATGGCAGGAAAAATAATACCTCTTAGTATGATTGTAAATACTGCACTACATACAGAAATTCACAAACACTCAAATGGGGAAAAAATTGTCATTATATCCCACCATCTTCCAAAACTAGGTACAAGCAGTTTACTCTTTTTATGAGTTTTTTCTTTAAATTTGTGCATTACTTTTATATCAGGCAGGAATACTATGGGAGGAGGGCAGTATTCTGTTTGCACTTTCATTTTGCACAATTTATTTAATACATTAATGGAAAAGGTAATACTTCCAGCAAAAAAAAAAATCACTACTTCATGATCATCATCTAATGTATTTCAAAAAGAGGAAACATTATATGTAAACTATTATGTAATTATAAACCACGTGGTTCTGCAAAATGATTACACTTTCTGCACATAATATGGATATTACCGTTAGTTGTGGCTGCTAGTTAATGTATTATACACAAGAAGTTAGAAAAACTACTTATATATATATATAGTCAAAGAAAAATTTCCCACCTTGTCCACATTGTCTCTTGTTTTGGCAGAAGTTTCCACATATGGTACACCCCACTGCTGTGCTCTCGCATTAGCGTCAGTAAGTGACACTTTCCGTTTCTCATCCAAATCACTTTTATTCCCAACAAGTAGGAATGGAATGTTCTCATCATTCTTCACACGGAGGATCTGATCTCTGTAGCAATTAGATATTATTTAATGTTCTGATGTGTTGTTACGATTCTGGAAGATCTAAAATCACTCCGAACAAGCAGGATATGATCAAATGTTCTGTTATTCATAAATGAAGAAACTGAGACCTTATAGAAACAGCTGAATATGCCTGGCGTCACAGGAAAGCAGTTCCTTTCACAGAAAAACAGAAGGAAATAGGTGCCTATCAACCAAAAAATATGGAGTTGCAGGCTTAACTAGAATACATATCTTCAGTGTACTGAACCAAATAAATTAAAACATCATGAATAAATTAATTACAACTGTTCTTGCCTATTTTCTCTCTTCTTGAGGTCTTACAGTACCTGACTAAGCCATCTCATTTTGGGTCATCCCACAGGTCTCCTTCCTTCACATTCTAGCCCTTCTCAGAATTCTTGTTGTACTCATTCTTTCAATATGCTCAAACCATTATTGCAATTTTTCTAACTGTATTCACAAATTTTGGATTTAAATTTATTCTTTAAAATAATCATTTCTATTATAAAAAGTTAAACAGTTCCGTCCAGAGTGACCGGTGAAGATTTTTCTTATTTCAATTCTTCATGCCCTTACATGTTTCAGTCTTTTGAAACCATCATCAGGGGGACATCATTACAGCTGGAAGCTAATATTNCAAACCTACCTGGTTTATAAATTCTAACAAAATCTTAACAAACCAATTAAAAAAATTTTAATATATTAAGATACACACTGTATTTGTAAAAACTTTAGATTTTATATCCAATCATAAATAATGATAATCATAAATAAGAATGTAAAAAATTGTAACTATTGTAATTTTAATCTACTTATATATCAAATTGTTAATATTCAGAATTAACTTGACTTGTCATATATCATGTACAATGATCTACAGTGACGAAATAAATCAATCAATCAATCAATCAATCAATATATTATTAACAATATATGTATATTTTAACACTCAGAACATATAGTGTAATGGTAGCTTCCAACTGCATTGATGTCCTTCTGATGATGGTCTCTAAAGACTGAAACATGTAAGGGCATGAAGAATTGAAATAAGAAAGATCTTCGCCAGTCACACTAGATGGAACTGTTTAACATTTTATAATATTGTTAGTGTGACGGACCACAATGAAACAAATCAAATTAATCATTTCTAATTCAACCAATTCTTTGTTTTCCCCTCAATATTTCTTGCAAACTAAATAATTACTTGGATTTTGCTTTTGTTCCTCTTTGCAAGGATCCATGTTTTGTCATTCTGCATTAGACTGATTTAAAACATACTTTACAGATATCTGTTAACTTTTCACCTGTACAAATAAGCCACTGACATATCCAATGACACAATGAAAACTAAAGTAAATAAATTAAGTTAATTAAACCATAATCTATCACCAAGTTCATTTTTGTTGAAAAACACAGGATTTGGTTTAAATACCAATGAAAACATTTATTCCATCCTCAAACAACTATTGTTAACTATATAAAAATATCATGCGAGAAAAGGGAACAAAACTGAGTGGTCATCATATTGTCCTGGTATTTATATCACACACAACTTAAGCTGGGCCATTCATATACAATATCTCTTCCATAAATTAAACAAGGCTCTTTATTTGATTAAATCCACACAAGACTCGGTAAGTTTACCAGTACTAAGAAGTGTTTATTTTACTAAATTTGAATCTATACTGAAATCTGGTATTATTTTGGGGGGAAGTAAATAACAGTAATTCAGTCTTTAAATTACAAAAAGAAAAGTCTATGGTTCATTAAAGGAATCAAAAACAGGGTGCCTGCAGAAGTCTGTTTGGTGAATTTAAGATTTTAACAGTAACTTCTTTGTACATATATATGATCTTTTACGCCTTTTTTTTAAAACAAGAACAAGATCTACACAACTCATTATTCTGACATTCACAAGTATAACACTAAAGGAAAACACGATTTTTATGCATAAACATACAACACTGTTTCTTGCAAAATAAGTGTACTTAACATGAGAATTAAAATACATAACAGCTTGCCACCTGAATTAAAAAGAACAGAAAATACTAAAGTTTTTAAAAATAAGTTAAAAAGTTATTTATTACAAAACTGTTTTTATTCTCTGCAGAAGCTTTTAATAACAATGAGGATGGTAGTTTGGTGGCTCGGGTTGGTTTTGATGTGGTGTGGTTGTATATAGATGGTACTAAGTGTATGCATTGCTTTATATTGGATTGTTGGGGGATGTCATCTTCGGTTGCTAGCTTCAGTAGGGGGACAATGATCCCAAGATGATTGTATTGTTCATAGTCTTGTTTATCATTTTGAACATTTTTACAAGTTGTTGACTTGTAGTGTTCTAGATGGTTTAAACTGACTTGTCAAATTATACTTGTGTAACAGTTTATGGATGCAAATAAATTATGAATTCACTGTACTAAAAGTAGTCATTTTCTCACCTAAATTCTTGAGTAGCTTGGAAGCTTTCATCTTCTGTGATTGAAAAAACACAAAGAAATCCTTCTCCACTCCGGAAGTAGTTGTCCCTGAAAGAAAGAAATATAAAATAAGCATCGATGAAAGGGCAAAAAGATTAAACTACATATACCTTCAACTCAAACATTCGATAAAGAAATGAGAACACATACCTAATAGCAGCATAATCTTCTTGTCCAGCTGTGTCTAGAATATCAATCTGTACTTCTTCTCCATCCAGTACCACTTTCTTACGATATGAATCTGCTTTTGTCGGTTCATAATCCTCTACAAACTGGAAATGATACCAAAGTATTAGCCTTTCTTTTCTTCACAATTTTAAAATGCATAAGATTTTATTTTTATTAATAATCATTTCTAACCTCATCATACATGAACTGAAGTGTCAAGGCTGATTTTCCAACACCTCCACTCCCAACCATAATAACTTTGTGAAGTGCGGGTTGTTGATTTGGTTTTTTCGACATGATATCACCAATGGATATGTTCAGTACAAATGATAAATGCTGAAAAATACAAATGACAGATGAAGTAATGACGTAGTTGTTTCATAAACTGAACTTCAGACAAAGATTGTTAAATCCATGCCAATTGAATAAAAATGCACAATGCTTCCGAGATATATCAGTGCCTACACTAATTATGAGGAGGTCGCACTGTTTTCACTAAACACTATGCATCATACCGGTGGTAGTTTCTCCAATCCAGTTCTTCAGGCTCGAGGAAGTTAGTATTCAACGGTCACGTACTCATGTGTTATATTTTAAATATGTATAAAATGCACGAAACAGGATCACACCATAAAAGCGATTTATCAAACTAGAAACGTAACTTCTTATAGTATTATTACAACATTAATTCTACTTCAGAGGCGTTGCCTTCTTCCAACAACAGCGAACGAAAACCCTAGAGTCGTTGACCTTTCGCATTGCTTTTATTTTAATTTTTCAGTATTCAAATAAAGAACTGAATTTTGTGTTTAATTAAGGGCAAATATTATGCAGAACTCAGTAAATATATAATTAATATCCTAACACTTGAAATAATTTGTTTTGCTTTGAGGTTGACTAACTACAGGACCATTTCAATTCTACCAATACACGCCTTGACGATGGAATATATATGTACGCGACACCTTATGTGAAGTTCATTTATGTGAAGCCTTACCGAAATACTAATCTATGGATTTTACAGTCTTATGGAATTATCTACATGGTTTCTGAGTCTGGAAAATATAATACAGGTGAATGACTCCCATCATTGTTGGCTACATTGGATATTTCGCTACTTGATGCGTTCCTTTCATTCCCAGTCTACCGATGCTAGCGACCCAAGTGACACTCGTGGCGAACAGACGTTTATATCATTTTGTTTTGTGAATTTTTGAAGTTATGTAGTTCTGTATTAATGAGAAGTGTCAGTGAGGTAGGACTGTATTATAAATAATTTAAAAATGAAATATGCATTTCCTAAGATATACGGTATATAGTTTCTAGTTTCATAGTAACGTGTGATTTCCCTCCTTTTTTATTTCAGAAAAGCGCATTGACTTCTGCGTACGAAGTATGAGTGGAGTAAGGTTGGAGGTTCAGTGGTCTCCAGTTCATCCTGATAAGTTCATTACATGGGGAACAGAGATATTTCTGTATGAAGTAGCTTCTATGAAAGATGCTCCGAAATTAGCATGTAGGGCTGCAATATCGTTTTCGTTAATGACTGTCATTGCAGTCAGATTTAGAAGATGAGTCTAATTAAGTATTTTCTCTTCCATAGGTTCAAAGGTCTCAGATACGACAGCAGCTAACTTATTGGCAACAAACTCAAATCATCATTATGTTAAATGTGTTGATATCTATCCACAACCAGAACCAGACATATTGCTGGCTATTGGCCAGGCTAACGGGAAAGTAGTACTCACAACCTTTGGTCCAACAGCATTTGATGCACTTGGACTTACAGGCAAAGAATTAGGTAACAGCCACATACTGGAGTCCTAAGTTAGCCTAAATGTTTATAAATACACTCAACTCTCGATTATCCGGGATAATGGTGGGGATGGAAATCACGATTAATTGAAAACCCGGTTAAGACAAATTTTATTAAAAGTAGTACTGTAATACTGTACCTTCATAATACTATAGGCCTACCTGTATTTTAATTTATTCAACCTCATTTTTATGTCATCTCATGGCCTATTTCATACTTTTTTACATTACAACTGAAGTATGAATTAGTTATTTCAATCACAGTGTTCAACAACATCCACCACTTTTTATGAATATTCACACTTAACACTTAAATAATTAATATTGTCACTTGCTTTTTCGCGGCATTTTCCTTTTTACGGATATCCTTACAAAGCCTACGTAATATTAACTTGTCACTTAATAAACTGTTCTCTTCACTCTTGAGATAGTCTAGTAAGGATTCCAATGATTAAGAGCAGCACCATGTGATATTTTCTTACTAGCAGCACTGTCCGCCTCTTCCTCATTCTCACTTTCTTCCCGCTCTTCTGGCTGCACCCCCACTGAACTTACGATTTCGTCACTGCTTAACATTTCGAAGCCTGGCTCACACGAGTCACAGTCAGACCACTCACTTATTTTCCTCGTTGACTTCTTCACCATCATGAACTTGGTTAGCCAATTCTTCCTTTTACACCCTGACATTTTGCTAATACCCTTGAAGATCGATACAAAGAGACTAACTGTGGTGGTGTATCTGTCCTTGAAACTTTCCACAAATCTTTGCATTCTCTCACCCCTACCCTAGGACATTGTGTTAGCATAACAGGACCAAAAAATGCAGAGCTCGGTTAATACTAGTGTGAAAATAGTGTTACAACTCACCATGTGAAACAAAAGTGAATGAATATTAACATATAAGCCTCAAAAAAGCCCCGGATAAGCTGCAAACCGGTTTATCCGCCCCTGGATAATCGAGAGTTGAGTGTAATAGAATTTCTGAACCTAGCAAAAATTGTCTTGCAGAATTACCAAGTGATATTCTGTTCAGCCAGTAAGTTTCCTTTAAATTTTGGCAAAACAGACTTCATAAAGTTGTAAGTAATAAGAAGTCAGTGACTAATATTCATAAGATTTTATTTCATGATTAGTATATACATGGAGCAGTAAAGATCATTGAAACAGGAAACATCAGTGTTGACTCATTCTAATTTCAGCATAATATGTTACATAACAAGGCCACTCTTGTTTGTAGGTAGTAAAAGATATACCAAAATGAAAGACTGTGCATATTTTCAGTCATGACTTGTGGGAGAATATTCTGACATAACATGCAGGAATTATCAGTATTTTCTCAGACAAAAGAGCAGAGAGATTATTATAGAAAGATTACTTTCTACCTCTTGCAAGTGAATATTTATTAGCTTCTGTATTGCTGACACATTGATAGTATTGAAACATTTCAAATGCAGAAGCTCAATTTTATATTAGTTGATAATTGTGAAACAAAATTTTGCTCCAATTTAAGTCTTTGTTTTAATTTATCTTTTGAATGTTAGTGTCTCCACCTTATCGTGGTGCGTGGTGAGGGGGTTTGATTATGCCAAGGACCCTGAGAGCTATACCAGCAGTAGCGTAGCTACTGGCAGGGCTTCCCTTGCTGGACAGTTCAAAGGGTAGGCATCAGACGAAGAGAGACCAAAAACTGATGCCAGAAGCAGCGTCATCAGCAGCGACTTGAAGCACAGAGCAAATGATGCTCGAGATGGTTCAAGTTCGTATAGCAACAGGCGTGACCAGAGTGGTTTGAATGGCTGTTGTACTGCGATGTGGAAAGCAAATGGAAAAGCTACCACATTATCACTTTTCCTGGATAGTCTCTTTAAAAAAAAAACAGAGATACCATGTATGCGAGATGTTTCCTCTGGAGACAAACAAACCGGAGGGGTAGATAGAAATGCCCAAAAGACGAAGAAGACCAAAGAAGATATTTTAATTGAAGGAGAAAGCTTGAGATCGCATTAAGTGGAGGAACTGTTTTGGAAGAGACTGTGGACCTGTCATCTGACAGATTACTGATGAATGAATGAATGTACCTTTCTTCAGTCAGTCTCCTATTCAATGTGTACCAGGGGCTCTTTCCCTGGGGGTAAAGCTGCAGGGGCATGAAGCTGACCACTCACCTCCAACTAGTGCAGAGGTCGAGAAAATGTGTATCTGTACATCCACTGCCCCATATGCTTTTATGGCGTAGTGCTTAGTGCTTAGTTAAGCACAGGGATGACTTTACATTTTTTTTACCTTTACTTTCTTCAGTTCTGAAATGACATTTCCTAAGTAGATAAAATGAGACACTTGTTCTATTTTGCATACTAATATTTTAATATTTTTTCCCCACATTCCCATTGATTTGGTATTTGATGTGGGGACTTTAATGTCGTATTTAGTTTCGTTCATATGTTGCAAATTGCGGTCCATTTTCAGATACTGCTATCATTATTTTATTATTTGCGCACATAATCAATTGCAAATGAAGTTTTTGAGATCAGCAATAGGAGTGACGTTTAGCTATAAAATTAAAGATAATAAGATATGATAGCCACTGAGAATAAAAAATATAGTGGATGATATAAAACAGTACCAAAATAGTATAGGTATACATTTGGGAATGATGACTTCAAAGGACTGTCATTGCAAGCATATTTTTATATCCACATGAGAGAATGAGAAATAGGTCATCATAGATTAAGATGGAAGAATCAGCTTACATAGCATCAAAACTGGATATGTGGCCCAATTAATTTTTTAATTTGCATAGTGGGGGGTGGAGTCCAGCTGGGTCCACTCAGCACATCAGCCACTCATTGGCCTGTTGTGCCTGCCCCGGATGATTATGATGATGGAGAATTTAGTGGAATGAAGATTGGCAGGGGAAACCGAAGTACTTGGAGAAAACCTGCCCCAGCGCCACTTTGTCCACCACAAATCCCACTTGACCAGACCTGGGCTTCAACACGGGCTGCCACAGTGGGAAGCCAGCAACTAACCGCTTGAGCTATGGTGCAACCTCATATGTGGCCCAATCTAGGAAGAAGTGAATGATCATTGGTTTTTTCTTAATAATTTTCTTCAACCCTCATTGTGAATATCCTAAATAGCCCACAACCATTTTTTTTGTACATGTCCCAATTTGTCTGTGCTTATGTAAGGTCTGATGAGATAGTTTACGGAAATGAAATTATTTCTCCTTAACAACAACACTTACCTTCTAACTTCTGTTGTCCCTTTCGAAGTAGTCTCCTTTGGACTTTATAGAGTGAGTGTGGCAATCGCACCTTCATTTGAAGTTGAATGTTTGAAACTCGCCATATATGTATCATGATATTGCTCGAATCATGGTGACATCAATAAATTTCATTCCTGTTAATTCCATCTTGAGTTTTGGAAAAATAAATAAGTCACATGCTGCTAAATCTGGTGAATAATGAGGGTGTGGAATGACAGCCAGACATTCATGCACAGACAAGCAGAGCGAGCAAGTGTATTGACATGGTGGTGAAACCAATCCTCCAGATTTGTCTTTTTCTGGTCACTTTTGCCACACATTTCTGTGCTGGCACTGTAAGATGTTGATGTAGTAAAGTTTTGGATTTTACAGTTTATAATTGGGGAAGAAATTCAAAATGAATATCTCCTCGAATGTAGAAAAAACAGTGAGTGTACTCATCACATTTGAGCAGATTTGTCTTGCATTTTTCGGGCATGGAGATGATGGTCCCTTCCACTGAGGCAACTACTTTGTTTCTAGGTCATAGCTGTAAAGCCACATCACATCACATGTGATTATCTTCAAAAGGAATTCTGGGTCCCTTTGAAGCCTCCCTTGAAGGTTCTGGCACATGTTGAAATACCTCTAGTGCCAGAAGTCTGTGCTAGCAGTAGTAGTGCCATCTAGCAGTCACTCTTAAAATTATTTGATCACACCTTGTACCTCTTGTCTGCCGGAACATAACGTCATTTGATACATTACTGCTAAAAATCCAGGAATCAGCAACATGGCTTGTTACGGTGATGAGTACTTGACAGATTGCATTATTGTGTTGTAATTTTGAAGCACTTGGATTTTCTAATCCCTTTTAATGTGAATGTACATGGGGTGTACAGAATTCTCACAAGGAAATGCTATGAAGAAACATCATTTGAGTAGCCAAAGATAGTGTTAAAGTGATTTATAGGGATACAGTGTGATGGTATAAGCTACTCTGTGTGGTGAACCTCTTCAATTTTATAATGCAACTGGATTGTTACTTCTTACCAATAACACAGATGTGACAGTTTGTAGACTGTTGCCAAATGGTATTTGACATACTTACCTTCATGACTGTTAACTTTTGACCATGAAAGTTAAGTATATATTTAGATAGTTGTCCCATTGGTTATGACACCATTAACTATTGTGGGTGGTTACCAGCATTTTGGAGGAACTTGCTGCCTTCCTTTTCATGGTCAAATTTTGTAAATTTTCATTGCCATGAAAACTGAAATCTCAAACATTATACTATTTGGAAGAGAGTAATTTTGCCCACTTGATTATTACAAGTGGCTTATCATCATGCCATTAGTATTGTTATGTATCACAAAATTAAGTAGCTTGATAAGAGGTTTTTTCTGCATTTGATGGCTACTGAAGTGGTAAAGAAATGCCAATTGTCATGGAAGAGGTTTTTCCTGCATTTAATGGCTATTGAAGTTGTAAAGAAATGCCTAGTGTCATGGAACTGCAAGGTCCTTTACCACCATCATACAAGCTCACAATTGTACTACATACCAATCCCAATTCACATTGTTATAGCCTATATCTGTAAGACCTTAAGATTTTCAAATCAGAGTTTTCTGTGCATTAACAATCAAGTTCCTTCCGTCAAATGTGACACTTTTATAAGTTTTCCACCTCGTCACCACCTGCCTTACATGTTTCGGCTCACCACGGAGCCATCATCAGAGGCATTTATAGTAGAAAAAGAAATCACCAACACACAAAACTTCACTTTGTTAAAAATAGCCACGTTCCAGTTAATTAAAATAATTACAATAGTTAAAATTGCCGAGAGTGTCGGTTCACTAAAGGTTTTCCACACACCACGGTAGCTTTCTTATTTAATTCGTCGTTAATTCTGTAAAAATTATGTTTCGTTATTTGAAGTAAGAATTCTTAAAATTCCTAGAATTCTTTCCCGCTTGGCCCAGTCTTTTTTCTTCGGGATGTTGTTGACGTGTGTTGTCTGTAAATAAAAATTGTGGTTTTATTTAGATTGTATTATATAAGTTTTTTATGTGTATATACTTTTAAGGTTCAATAACCTTACCTGTCGGTTGTTGATGTTGCTTGTCTGTGTGTTGCGATGCTTGTGTGCTTAAGGAGTGCTGTGTCGTGTGGTTTATGTATCCTGTGTTTGTGACGTTAGTGTGGGTGTGTACGAATCTTGTATTATGAGTTCGAAGAGGTTTTTTTGATTATTGGTTTCTTTTATCTGTCTTTGTTCTTCTATTAGTTTTTTGTGTTTGTTATGATAATATATTTGGAAATTTGACGAGGTGGAAAACTTATAAAAGTGTCACATTTGACGGAAGGAACTTGATTGTTAATTTGTTAGTGTGACGGACCAGAATGAAAGACCTTAAAAATTTTCTGTGCATCTTTTATGTGACTCGTGTAGAAACAAAGAAGAACATGTTTATATCCATATCAGAGGATGGTTTTCTCTGTTTGCAACCTGAGTATGTTTTGTGTCATTCTGAGTAGAAACACAATGTATTTCATTATACAAGGGCTATTTGGAAATTAACCTCTGGTGAACTATTAATAAAACAAGTAATGAAAAAAAAATTATTATATACAAAAAATATGTGCTTACTTAAACCACTTCTCAATGTATTTACTGTCAGAATTGAGGCACTTGTATCAGGGAATAAGTTTCTGTATACCTGTGACAAAGAAGTAGATTCTAAAGGGTTCTGACAATGGTGTATAACACACAGAGTTTTCAGACTTGTTCCATCGTCTAGTATTCTAGAGAATAGAAAACACAATGTTTTTGAAACTGGATCTGTTTCCATTTTCAGGAGAGGAGATACCTACTCAGTTGGGCCCCTTACAAAAAGCTAATCTCAATCACTGGGCAACCCCTGTCAGATTTACACAGCTATTTAATCATCTGAGACCAGGTTAATTCAGTGGAAGATAACAAGAAAATATACAATAAACATTGTGAAAAAGCATGCACTTGTGTGGAACTGGAACAAATTTGTACCTCCTTTTCTATCCCAGTTCCATGCACATACGTGCTCTTTCACAGTTTTTATTGTATATATTCTTGTTATCTCCCACTGAATTAGTCTGGTCTCAAATGGTTAAATAGTTATGTAAATCTGACAGGGGTTTTCCAGTGATTGAGATTAGGTCTTTTTAGGTGCCCCAACTGAATGGGTGTCTTCTCCACCCTTCACTTGAGGACAGAAACAGGTCCAGTTTCCGAAACATCATGTTTTCTATTCTCTAGAATGCCAAATGTTGGAAAAAGTCCAACAACCCAGTAATTCTATATCAAAGAAGTTTGCCACCTGTGAGCTTAGCCATGTATTGACACCTTCCATCATCTCATTATTGTCAAAGTGCTGAGATCCCAATCAGTTCCTCAGGTAGGTAAACAGGTGGTAGTTGCTCAGAGCAAGATCAGGGCTGTAAGGAGGGTGGTTGAACAACTGCCAGTTGAAATGCTCAAACAGTGCTTGAGTGTGAGGAGCTGTATGCGGACGCGCATTGTCATGGAGGAGCACTACACTGGATGTCAGCATTCCATGATTTTTGTTCCAAATGGCCCTACACTGGTTCTTAGTGTTTTGCAATACCCTTCTGGTGTTATTGTGGTTCCTTGTTCCGTGAATTCTGCCATCAGCACTCCTTTTCTGTCCCAGAAAACAGTTCCCATCAGCTTTATGGCAGGCAATTTTGTTTAAAATTTTTCAGCTTGTTTGGTGAATGTGTGTGTATCTACTGCTTTGACTGCTCTTTGGTTTCAACATTCACAAATGAAACCCAGGTTTCATCACCTGTCACTAGTGTGATGTGATTGAGAAATTCATCATAATTTGTATGGTATTGCTCTAAGAAAGTCAAAGTTGAAGCCAGTCTGTGTGTTTTGTGCACACCCATGAGCATTTTCAGAACCCATCTCGCGCAAAACTTGCGATAGCCTAGCCTGACTGTCAAAATCCTGTGAAAAACAATGTGAGAAATTTGTGGAAATTCACAAGAGAGTTCTGAAATTTTGAAGTGGTGCCTTTCACCAGTATTTTGGTCAGCACTCTGAACAAGATCATCACACACTACAGATAGCTGACCACTTCGCTCTTCATCAAGAACATTTATTCTCCCATCTTTGAACAGTCTACACCATTGTCTCACAGTCCTTTCACTCATTGCATTTTGGCCATACACTGTGCTTGGTTCACAGTGGATTTCCACAGCACATTATTATTATTTATATATCAAATTATTATATATTACATTATTATTACTTATGTGTTTAGCATGAAGAAAGTGGATCCTGTGTGAATTCTGCAGGTGACAGGATTATCATTCGCAGGACACTTCATAACTCACTCTATAGAGACAAGAATAAACATTATGTGACCAGTTGTACGATGGTTTACAAGGCAATGAGTCATGTGATGCTAAGTTGCATACACAAGCTCTCCCCCCACTCCTGCATTAGTTGCCTAAAATGAATGAAGGTTCCTTTCTGAAGAGCCCTCATATTTTGACATCTACTGGGTCAGTAGGTAATATAAGCCATATTCTTCACCACTATTTAATGCAACATATAAAACTTCAAATTCATACCCAACTTATTTTCTGTCTTGCAGAGTCATTGGCTCTTCTATGGGGTTCTTTTACCGTTCTTTAGCATCATTGATAGTTATGAAATTTGCTTTATACCTTAATTGCACTCAATTCAAAGAGGGTACCTTAAATTGGGTAAAATTCAAATTTCAAATCCATGACGAGGATTTACCTTACTGTATTAAAATATGAATATTTTGTTCATTCAATTCTTTGCTTCATGTCAAGTTGCTAATAAACTTCACTATATAAAGTAATGATAAAATTTCAAATTACTATGTAATATACATTTCACAGAATCTAAGTATATTTCATCAATCTGTCTGAATTATCTCAGCAGACCTCCTCTGCTTTGTTTTTTTGAAGTAATCACTTGATTTAGATAATATTTCAGAAAATTTCCAATTAGGACAGGAGAATTTCTTGTAATATTGTTAGTGTGATGGACCAGAATGAAACAAATCAAAATTACATTGTTTTTACTTTATTACCACATAAATTCCCCCTTTGTTGTGCAAGATTTTAAATTAATTTTATACTGCCACATTTGGTAATGGAGAAATTTTATTTCATTCTTCTATTGTGTTATGATGGAATTATCACTGTCCATAGCAGTATTCTTTATCTATTTTATTTTTATGTTGGCATTAGTGTTTATTCTTGTAATAAAATATGTTTGTATAATTCTGATTTCAGTGCCACGACATGCAAGGCAGTGCAACACTGTTGCGTGGAATCCTGTTGATTCAAATCTTATAGCTGCAGGTCTGGACAAATACCGAGCTGACCACTCAGTGCTGCTGTGGGATGTACTTAAGTGTCCTCATCATGGAGATGGAAGAACAGGTGTTGTGCCAGGTGTTTCCCATCAGCATCAAGCTTCGTCATCAGCAGTTGAACTGGCTCGCCCGGTGGTAGAGCTTGGTCTGTCAGAAACAACCCATTCTCTTGCATGGTTCAACTCTCAGTCTAGAAGTCTCATTATTGGCATGAACAACAAGCACCTGAAACTTGTTGATCTGCGAGGTATGCATATTAAATTTGTTTCATCTCACGCTACTTTCTTTAAGAAAATAAATACACATGAAATTGCTGTTTGAACTATGGTAGAGAAGTTGCCTAGTAGGCTACTGTATATGAAACTCCAAGTATTTGTGCCAATCAGTGCTGCCATTTCAGAGTTATTTTTTTTCAGACAAGTTTCATTAATATTTTCCAATGAAGATGATCAGATAGAGGCCGTAGCAGAGCACTGTGGAGGGGTACCACACCTTTGTACCGCCTTGCAGGGCTGGACCTACAATGGTCTACACAGAGTTCCTAAAGAGCAACATAGAGGAGACAATGAGGGCAACTGAAGACCAAGTTGGGGTCCAGACATCTGGCTGCAGGGTATCACAGCCAACTGAAAACATGGACCAAAGAAAATGGTGGATCCATGCAGGAGTCTGGTACCACAATTGAACAGTTGATCCACCATGCCTTTCCTGCACTACATGAGGACCAAGGTCCTAAGGAACCAGCAAATCATTTGGTGATGGTATTAGAGATCAAGCCATAGAACAGCAGCTACTTCTGGGAGGCAAGAAGACACTCAGTGAGGCTCTCAGGCATACCCTAGGGCTGAAACTCATAAAGCTTACAATTGGGTCTTCCGTTGGGGTCCAGAAAACTAGTGGCACGGCGTTATGGAAGAGTGCACCCCCTCTCAAATGAAAAAAAGAGACTCCTGACAGCTTATGTGCTGGTGCTGTACTAGGACCGACTGCTTTTGGAAGTTCTTCCCCACAAACCAGAAGAAATGTCAGGATGCCTATGGGCTACTCTAGACAAACAGCCTTAAGGAAGGAAGTGTGTGACATGATGATGGAAAAAATTGTCCTCTGCTGGGCGGTGGCAAACTAAACACGTTTTCACAGCAACAGACATGTGATACAACAACAGTGCCAGTGTTAGAAACAGTTCATCCATATTGTTTATGCTGAGGCTATGTAACAAGAACCATTCGAAAGTCAAAATGATTGGTCTGTTGGCTCCCATAGCCATCAGGCAGTAAAATATGGCCAAAAGTCCTGTGGGAATCGTAACAAAGAATCACTGTGCTGGTGAGGACTGGCAGGAATTTAGCGGTCGGTGAAGGGAACACCAAGCGAAGACTTAGCAGACTGAGAACACTTAGTATTTGCGATAGTGATTTGTTGTTAAGTGTGTAGATTAGCATAATGTTGTAATTGTGAGTGTTCAAGAAATCTGACCACCAATCCAAACCCCATGTTTAGTCTCTAATGCATGACAATACTAACACAATCTTTTCTCACCATTTCAGATTTGTTAATAGGTACTGTACATGTCTGAAATATCTGTGATTTGAAACATGATAAATTATATAAATTACTTATATGTAAATGTCTTCAGCATGTATTGTATCTCATCCCATGTAAACTATATATATATAGTTTATGTGATTGCTCTTTTAATAAATCTATAGCATTTTCTCCACTTAATAATCATTTCTCTGAAGAATTCTCTGGTAATTTTCTTTTACAATTCTCCAGTAATAATGGAAGAGTTTGAAAAATTCTGAAAACTGTTCATCATTACAGGCATTTTCCATTTTTAAAGCATAATACACCCTGCCTCAATTACACACTACATGTGCCTTGTGTATGGGAAATGTGTCATTGCAGTGGCAGTTTTTCTGGCACCAAATCAGTCAGTCTGTCACTGCTGGATGCCTGTCCACATACTCTGTGTGGAAAAGATCAGAGAAAGCCATCCACATATATTAGCTGAGAAATTGTTGAATCAACCAATGGACCCATCACATTTTCAGGCTAACTATAATTAGATGTTAATAATATATTTATACACGTGCTGAATTCTGTAATTTGCATTTCAGATTCTAACAAGGCAATTACTTCAACACCTACGAAGGCTGTGTATGGACTTGTAGTTGATACGCACAATGATCATCAGCTAGCATCGTTTGTGGAAAATCAGATTTCTGTATGGGACACAAGGAATTTTGAAAAACCAGTTCTTACCCTTACTCAGAGTAAACCTGTTACCAAAGTCTTATGGTGTCCAACCAGGTATAATTTCAGATTGTTTGGTGAAATTTATATGCCTATGTAAAATTTCCTTGCATCATTCATGGAATGATTATGAAAGTATTCATGCGTTTTGCTAAATGCATAGGTGTTTCATGTGAAAATCTTGGATGCAACGTTATGAGATTTTTTTGTTTGTGCATGAAATACATGGTAATTTATAAGTCTCTGTAGAAACCTTGACAATAATGTAGAATCGCAGTACCCTTGTAGCCATGTATGAGGTGGTATCAGGGAGTTCTTGGATTGTTACTGTTGTAGATTGCCTTGGTGAAAGAAGATGAGAGAGGAGGACAAAGTCACACTTCCAGAAGCCTATTGAATCAGTTTGCAACATGACGCTGCACTGTGAACACATGTTTTTACATGAGTGCTTTTTCATCTTCATGTTCCATTTTGTCCGAAATGGATGGCACAATTGAGCAACATGTCTGCATCAAGTTTTGTGTGAAGCTTGGTAAATCTGCCACCAAAACCCTTGAAATGCTTTGTGAGGCTTTTGGAGAACATATTGTCACGTATTGGGTGTATAACGTGACAAATAACTTCACGCCATATTGGAGATAGCGATTTTATTCCACTCGCTCTTACAATCACACCATTTACAATCTCACAATTAGTGCCATCAGCAGTATCACAAATACTCCGGCGAAAGATAGACAGCAATTGACTGGTTACTCTTTCTCTAGTAACTGGCTCAATACTCACTACTCACTCACTAGTAACTAACTACTGACTACTGTTCACTGCTCCTTATTTAGCCTCGGCACAGACAAGACAGAAAACAGTTACGTGATAGGTACTGCTGTTCCCTGACGCTGTGTTTGCTGATAGCCTAGCAACGCTGTCGGGAGTTGTTTACTGCTGCATAGCAACCGCAACATCCCTTGGTCACATCACCATGAGAAGGGGCGGGGTGTTGACTGGCCTGTTACTGTAGCAATGGCAACGCTCCGAAGGTGTTACGTCACCACTGGTGGGGGAGGTGGTGTCCTGCATAGCGCAAATATGTCACAGTATTTTAAGCTGGACAGCTGTTCGCGAATGACATTCACGTTTCAAGGCTGGCCAAGTGTCAGTTGAAGATGATGAATGTTCAGGAGACCAAGCACCATCAAAACAACAGAAAATGTTGAAAAAATTCCAGAACTCATCCACAGAGACCATCGCTGAACAATCCATGAGCTTGCAGACACCAGTGAGATAAATTATGGAGTTTGCCAGGGGATTTTAACAGAAAATTTGAACATGTGCTGCTTTGCTTAATCAAGACAATATGTCTGCCCACATGTCCCTGAAAACCACTGAGTTTGTGACTAACAGAAACATGGTTATCATTCCCCATCCTCCCTCCTCGAAGGACTTAGCCCCCTTGTGATTTTGCTTTATTTCCCAAATTGAAAATGAAACTGAAGGGATGAAGTTTTGAAACTGACATCAAAGGGACTTGCAAGTGGTACTCGACAGAATTAAAGAAAATGACTTCCACGGTGCTTTTGAACTGTAGAAAAACAATTGGATCACGGTATACATTCCCAAGGAGACTATTTTGAAGGAGAGCGCAGCCAAAATTGAGTTAGTTAAGCCAACATTTCTTTTTTGACCTAGTCTGGGAACTTTCTGATAGCACTTTGTATTTGGTTTATGGAGTGATTCTAAATTATTGTCGTGGTGTCTGGAGGAACTTAAGAATTACTGTGTATTCAACCCTTTCTGATTTATCTTGCATATTTTTACCTTACCTCACTTTTCTTTGTATGATAGATTATAATTTACTTTTGTTCTTCCTGTTCTTGTTATTACAGTGAAGCTGCAATAGAGTGAGAATAGTTTATAACGAGCTTCATTACAGTGACAAAAATCATTGGAACCGTCATTTTCTTAACATTAAATATATGGAAAGAAATCACCTCAAGTAAAAGCCTTTTTACCAGCACCTTCATATCAAGTGATTTATAATTAATAACCACTGTTTTCTGCTCTCTTTTTGCACCAACTCGCAGTTTTGCTTCCAAAGTTACATATGGCTGCCAGTTCATAATGGCCCTGTTAATCCACCCTCTCTGTTCAGTCCTTGTGTAGGAAAAAGTTCTCAGTCCAGAATCTGAAAGCAGCTTCCCCCCACCAAGATTTAACCTCTGAAACATATAAATCATATGCCACCCTCTAAATTTTGTCTTCAGTAGCTTATTTCATTATATGTTGTTTCACTTGGCATCCAGCACTTTATTCCCCTCTTAGTCACATTGGTTTTCCCTTCCCCTGAACTTCCCCTGCCTTCACGTGATGATGTTGCAGAATACAACTGTGCCTATGTTTAAGAGGTTTTCCACCCCATCAAACATGATCTGTGTTTTAGTTAGTGCCAGTGGCACTTTTGTGGCTTGCCTGCCTACAGCTGCTTGTCAGCACCATTCACTGCACACGAATGAATGTAATGATCATGTTTTCTTTTTTGCCCATTGCAACTGTCATCATTGTTGAAGTTATTTATATATAATTTTTATATGTCATTGTTAGGTATACCATGTGATACTGTCAGTATTGTGAATGACATATTTTTGATGCTTAGTATGAAATTATCTCCTGTACCCCCTGATGAGGCTTCACATACTCCTAGGTTCTTAACCACTGATCTAGACTGTTTCTAATTCCCTTACATTGCCAAATAAGTATAACTTAAACAACATGGGTGGTGAACCATACCCTTGTCAAACACCCATATAAGGTAGTAACATGAAATAAGCCACAGTTACTTCCTTGCACATCTGTTCCTATTCACCATACAGAATCATTGTGCAAGTTGTTGCTGAATAATACAGTTGAGAACATCATGAAGTAAATCAAATCAAAGAGAAATCCAAGTGGCATAAGTTAGTTGGCAAAACGAGTTTCCTCTCTTCTCCTGTTTTGCAGGCACAATCTGCTTGGAGCTTTATTGAAGGACAGCACTGCCATACATTTGCATGATATTCAGTATACCGTTGTTGGCAACGATGAAGTTGAGCCTTCTGTTCTTGAGCGAAGTGTGTATCCTGGTACAGCAAACAACATAACATCATTTTCTTGGCATCCAACACATGAAAGCAGATTATTGACCATATCTCTCTCAGGCACTATAACAGACTATGTGGCATTTGAAAGGATTACAGTCAACTGGTCTCCAAGTTCTCATATTGTATGGACACATGGCCGTCGGACCTTGAAACTCATTAGTAACAAAGATACTGTGTATAATTGTCTCGATGACATCTCAGTGAAAATGAGGAGGAGAGCTGTGAATGATTATGGGCTTAAAGTAAGTAATACATGCTTGAAATGCACCAGCACATATATGACAATGCTAGAGTATGCGTATGAATCTTCTTCCTCCTCCTCTCCCTCCTTGAACATTTCAACATTTTTGTGGTTGGTCAGCATTCAGGCCTTTCCATATATTTCTGTCTTTCCAGAATTTGTCTCCCTCAGTTCCCTCCTGTGTTCTTGCTTGCTCATTACATCCTTCATAACCTGTTCTTATTGTATTAGTTATACATTCAGAGCATTATTTGGTATTCTGTCTTTGTTCATTCTGAACCCACTGACTTCAGCTTATAGATTTTGAATTTCCCTTAGTGATGGTAATGGTATTTGGATTTTGGCTGTATTCTTAGAATGCCTCATTAACACACTCCTGCGTTAGTAGTAGCTGTACTGTATCTTGGTGCCATTGAAATATTTTATTGTCATGTGTTGATTTTTCCAAAAGTAATCCCAGCTCTCTTGTATTTTCCTGTAACTGAAAACCCCAACCCCGATGGATTAAAATGTGGCCATACCATCTAATTTTGTTATTTATCAATTTATATACAAGGGTACGTTTCTGTAAAATCTTTCCAATTTCTCTTTCATCAGGTTTTTCTTTTTGTTTTTCCTGTCATTAGTTGTCTGATACCTGCTTCATGTCTGTATGGTAACTTTTACATAAACATAGTATGTTTCCTGTGTTCAGCATTTCCTATTTCAGAAGTATAGCCCTAAATGGTTTTTAAAATTTTCCTGCCTGTTCTATTCTTTCTGTAATTTCTTCTTCACCATTTCTCACTATTTTGTGTTATGTCATACATAGGATTCCAAAATTTACTATTTTTTTGCCATCACTCAGAGTATGTGGGATGGTGACATGATGTGGCCCTGCTGTACCAAGAATTTTGGGTGGCATTGTATGGTTAGGTTAATTTAAGATGCTGGGTCTGCAATACTTAATACCTTTCAGGCCTAGAACAGTCTGACCATTATCATCAAGCTTCTTCTGCTTCTGACTCAGACTCATTATGTTTATTAATGTACTTTCTTTGTAATTTTTTTCAGCCTGAACTGTGGCAAAATGGAGATCTAGCAGAAGATGAATCCCTCAAAAATTTATGGCATTGGCTGTATCTTAGTAGATCATTAGTGGAAGATGGAAGTATGCAAGGTGTTGACAGCAAACTTCCAGGCATCAAGTGAGATTTTATAAGTAGCGTCAGTCTGATGATGATTACTGAACACAATATTGTATACTGTATACAGATATACTGTATTCAGATATCATATACACCTAAATGAGGCATGCACCCCTTTAAGTGCATTTCACTATAAACAAGGCCCAGCTTTTGTTTGACTAAATTGTATACATCCTACAGTGAGAATGATGAGATATAGAAATGTGCACCATATTCATATGTCCCAAAGCAGTTGAAAACATTGTATGAAGTATAGTTTAAACTGAAAAGTTCTATAATCTGGGCTATAATGCCTTGAAATCTGTTGGAAGTTAACCAGCATTTCAGAGGAATATGCACCTTCATCTTCAAGCTCGATATAAATGTGAATTAAGAAGTAGTTCACAGGTTACCATGAAGTGGGGTGGTGTTCAGTGGCATAATATGGAAACCAGGTTTCAGGATAATGCACCCATAAGATCAAATGTAATTACACATAGATATCATAGTACAGTTATGTTTCTGTATAGAGTGAGGAAAGTTAGTTGAAGGTAACTTTGGTGTGTGAGTAAATGCTCTTAGGCTTAATAATATTGTGCAATGTGAATAAAATTAATATAGTTTTTATTTTATGATATATTTTTGTGTTCTTAAATAAATATATGAAAATGGTGTTCAGTGGCAGTCTGTATATAGTATTTAATGAGTAGAAATCTTTAATACAAGTATGATGTTTTTGGACATTATCCATCGTCTTTTCTGTATCTAAAAACCATCCTGTTTATTTTTCAAAACACAATGTTTCAGAGACAGATTCCAGTTTCTGAAACGTTGTTTTTTGAAAGATAAACAGGACAGTTTTTAGATACAGACAAGACAATGGATAATGTCCAAAAACATCATACTTGTACCAATGTACCATCGTCACAAGCTTTTAGATCTCATTATAAATCTTTACGTGTAACAGACAGAGACAGTGTTTCCATTGTGCACATTGTGTTTGATTTAATACAAGTATTGATCATAGAATATGGTGAATGATTCACCCAGTTCTTTGTTTGTCTGGGCATGACTGATTCAATGTGTATGAAATCAAGAAAGTAGAGAAAGACTGGCAATTTACATTGGAAAGAGGAAATTAATTCCTTTTCTCATAGCAGTATATCATATTTAACTACAGCTATAAAGTTTAAGTTAAATGTCTTCACATTATATTTCTGATATGTGCCGACTCATTCAGCAAGACAAAAAAAAAAACAGATATAAACCAAGTTACAGAAATTCATTTTATCAGCTGCACTACCTGATTTGAAGTGGAATTTGTAGCAGAATTATTTAGTCACCTACATGCAACTATTATAGCAATTTCGAGTTAAAAATTATGCTTTTTATGTTTAGATGTGTCCTTAAAATTGACAGTAGTGAGACTGATGGATCTGAAATCATAAGCAAGCCCTGGAGTGATCTTGGAAAGTCAGTCAACATGACACGGATTTACAGGTGAGCACATTACATGCTTTTGTTGTTAATCCATTAGCTTATACCGTTTTGGAAACCATTCTTAAGCTTTCCATAGATTTCTGTAATTTTGAAGCTTGTGACTTACAAATCCAGAACTTACAAAGTGGGAAATTAATACATTTGTCATTTGGTTATAAATTACGTTTTATTGTGTTTTTCATTTAGTGCATGTAATTAATGTATTTCAGGGGGGACATATTGATCCAAAGTCTGATGATTCATCTCCAGAGTCACTAAACCACAGTTGTCAGATGAATTTTGTTTTTCTTCACATCACTTCACTTAACCCCTGTTTTACTCCCAAACTGTATCAAATTCAAAAAGTCTATGGCAGATAATAAAAAAGGAGTCAGGATATAATTTTACAGAAATAGAAAATATTTCTTTAGAAATAGATTCTAAGTTAGTTACAAACCCCGGGATGTATCCAAACAATTTAATGAATTTTTTGTAAATAGCATAGACAAACTGATACATTTAAATAAAGATTGTAAAATTGACCATGCCACTACAAATGATGCGATACAAAATCCAAATGTATTATTTCTTGCCCCTGTTACTGAAGAAGAGGTTCTTCAGGTTACTAGTAAATAACAAACAAAAATTTCAGCAGGCTATGATGAGATCCCGGATATGGTAGTTAAACAGTGTATCCAAACCATAAAAAAAGCCTTTGACTTTTATATTTAATCTGTCACTAAGTTCTGGCATTTTTCCAAATCAAATGAAGATTGCAAAAGTTCAACCTATTTTTAAAAACCGTCAGAAACAAAATATTGCAACTTACAGACCAATCTCAATTTTGACTGTTTTTTTAAAAAATTCTTGAAATGTTGATTGTCAGTAGGGTTGTAAATTTCTTAAATAAATTCAATCTGATATCAAATGCTCAGAATGGTTTTAGAAAAAAATAAATCCAAGTTTACAGCAATTCAAACTTTTATTGGAGAAATTCAGAAAACTCCAGATAATAAACAACTGGCCTTTGGTATATTTTTGCATCTGTCAAAGGCTCTTGATGTTATTAATCATAACTTGCTGCTCACAACATTGGAACCGTATGGATTGAGAGGAATATCTCATACATGGATGAAATCGTATCGTACAGATAGATCACAGTTTGTTGAAATTCACTATATGGATCAAAAGACTTAAAAAATGAAGACAGTTACCTCATCCCTTAAAGCGATTAACTATGATATACCTCAAGGTTCTGTTTTGGGACCCCTTTTATTCCTATTATTTATAAATGATCTGCCCCGAGTTATACATAATGCAGAGGTAGTACTATTTGCTGAAGATACAGATATATTGATTACCAAAAAAAATATTTTATCATTAGATGAAAGAATTCAAAATGTAAAGAATCAATTAGAAAATTGGTTATATGAAAATCGTTTAATTAGAAACACGGATAGGTCAAAGGTATTATTTTTTCGGGAAGTAGATCTATTCCATGCACCAGACCCTTTTTATATAAATAATAAGGAGGTGGTTTGTTCAGTGAATGTAAAATTTTTGGGTATTTGCGTTACTGAAGATTTAAGTTGGGTAACCAACACCCAATATGTGTGTGTCAAAAACTTAGCAAGACTACCTATTTGATAAAATCCCTATGGGACTCAGTGAGCCAAACTGTTTAAGAAGTGTGTATCTTGCAAAATTTGAGTCCGTGTTGAAATACGGTATTGTTTTTGGGGGTGGGCTGCAAAAGGACTCTGAAATTCTATTTAAAGTGCAGAAAAAATATGTAAGGGTGGTAAAAGGTGTTAAAAATAGAGTTTCCTGTAGAAATTTGTTTCATGAATTAAAGATTTTAACTGTTACTTCCTTATATATTTTTGAGATCCTATGTTTTATAATAACAATAACATTTATACCACCCAGTATTCTGATGTTCATGGCTATAACACTATTCATAAACAGAATTTGTGTGTACAATTTTGTAATACTGAGCGTAGCAAGAGAGGGGTGATTAGTATAGGAACCTTCTCTCAGTCTTTTTCATAGTCAAATGAATGGATCAGATTACAAAATGATTTATAAATTCAAATTATCCTATGTTTTGGTACTGATTGTTGTTTAAAAATTGTATCTGTAATCCTAGGATTTTAACTATGCACTGTTTAAGTTTGTGTAGTTATGACTTGTTCTGTTTGTCCTCTTATTCGCTGCATGAAACAAAGATAAAATTCTGTAAATATTTATCTCCATAGTAACATTTGATGCAACATTATTTTGGGTTCAGAAATGAAAAGCGGAGCTCTTGAAAGTGACTTTGCAATCTGTTTTTAGCAGTTGAAGTTTTCATTTCATTCACTGCCGGTTTTTATAACTGGTGCAAACTGAAATAAAGACACTGGCATTTGCTTTTCCTTTCAAGATTCATAAGGCTGCAAGTTACAAGAGCTGAGAATTATTGTGCATTGGAAGTAAGTATAATATGGCTCTAAAGTGTTGAATCAGTTTTTCATATCACAGGATATCAGTCCAAAATTACAAAATCTGTAATAGCTAGAATATCAGGGTGTTACAGTAATGCATGGTTGAAATATTAAATAACTGAAAATGCTACACAATACTCAGTTTAGGATGATATTTCATAATAAAGAATCTGATCTTCCAGGAGTGAAGATCGTGAAAAGGCGTTGCAGCTTTGTGGCTGGAAGTTTGATAAGGAGTCATCCTTAACTTCATTCCTGGATAGACTGGAGTGTGAGGGATCTTATGCAAGAGCTGCTGCCATTGCTGTATTTAACTTGAAACTACGGAAAGCAATTGAAATTTTAAACCGCGGAGCTGTGTCACAGAATAAACAACAATTCCCTTCCAACCTGAATATTGTAGCTATGGCACTATCAGGTAAGGAATTTATTTTTATGCACTGGCTGTCATTGGTAATTACATGGTATTTTAAGCCTTGAAAGACTGAATTTGTTCTTAAATATATATAAAAATTCAGTTTGTACCTCACAGGAAACATTGCATCTCCACTACAAAGGTCATCTGGTTGATGCTGTTTAAGGAAACAATTGCTGCTTATTGTGAGATCCATACAAAACACACAGATACACTCTATGGGCAGAATGCAAAGTTTAAAACCACTGGACTTTAAAGGGTTGAAGGTCATTGCACTTTTGCTCAGATTGCAGGGTTGATTTACCATGGGATAATGAAGCAACAGATTATAACTGTTGTGAAAAACTGGTCAGCAAAAGGAGTTCCATCCAAGGAATATAAATGTGGTATACACACACACACACACACAAACCATTAGTGGATCCTCATTTTCATATGAAGTTGGACCTAATGAAAAGTCTTGTGAAGGTTTTTGACAAAAATATTAATGGTGTGAGATACCCAGAGCAGTGTTTCCAAAATGAAATGACATAAATCTCATAGATGTTATCTCTGCTAGTCCACTAGACAACTTTTGCATAACAAACTGTTTCCAACCCAAACTAACATAAACTCCATTCACTTAACTGCTTGGCAGTCCCTTGAATCCACAGTTCATGAGATGTCAGATACTCCTCAAAATTCACATTTAGACTTTCCTGACAACTTGGATGCCATTAGTGATGAACGAAGTGAAAGTTTCTGCCAGGGTGTGAGTGTAATAGAACAGCACTGCTAAGGATAGTGGGATCCAGCCATGATGGGTGGATTTTGTTGGTTTTTGCACGGGGAAGATGGAATGTACTCGTATGTTAGATATGAGGTTTTCACCTAAGTGAATATGAAGAGTACTATTTTCTGGGACGTAAAGCTGTGTAGTCCAATAGTAGTTCAAGAGTGTTTCATAGTAACATACGTCTCCATCTTCAGGCTTTTCTTGCCACCTGGTTCTTGCTGGATTCATGCTTGGCTTACTCGCTGATCCCAAAGATATATGCAATAAATTCCTCTGTAATATTGATGAACTTATACCATATTACACATTGTTATATTCCAGAAAGTAATATTCTTTGGAAGATGAAATTAATTTTAAACGAAAAAAAAAATGATGGTATGTGTATTGAATTTTGATCCAAAAGTGCACCATTTTTCACTTTTGAATTTGTTTCTTGGTTTTGTTATAATTTTTGTCAATTGTAGTGTCAGAATAGGATGTTTTTTTTGGTTCATAGGAGTTTATTGTTATTTAAAATAGTGTCTGTATTTCAAATTTCATAGTAAGTTATATGTACATTTATATCTTTTGCATGCAAATAAAAAAATAAGGTACAACAAAAAAAATGTGCATGTTACAACTTTACCATTGTAGTTCTACTTTATTTCTATACTGAATTAATTTTTTTCTCAGGATTTTCTGATGACAGAAGCAGCATGTGGCGTGAACTTTGCCTTTCATCTCGTTCGCAGTTGTCTGAGCCATATCTCAGAGCAGCATTTGCATTCCTCACTGCAGAAGCAGAAAATTATGAGAACGTGCTGGTGAGCCCATGTAGTAACAACATATAAAGGTTTTCTTGGAGGTTTTCAGTATTAGATTATCCATCATTTATGGCCACACCCATAACTTAATACTGCTCTGTAAGTATCTAAGTGAGCAAAGTGTAAGTACAGGAGCATCGGTAGTAAGTGCATCTAAGTCAGGAGAATCACTGTGGCCTCTTTCTGTGTTATAAAATTCTCACTTGTTTGAAATATACCATATGTTATATTTACCTAACTGATTAATACTGTCATTGCAGGTCCCAGAGGTCAATACCGTTAACACACACAAACTGCCACTGGACATGATCCTGAAAAAGAGTCATTCAACTCCAACCATCACAACCTCCCTAAGATCTTTCTTAATGTTATTCTTCACTGCCCGTAGTCTTATAAGCAGATAGTTTTCAAGAGCTTTTCTCACTAGAATTCTGTATGCATTTCATGTTCCACCCCTCACCCCCCACCCCTTGTAACCTCCTACTAGATTTTACTGTCATAATAATAGTGGTTGACCTGTATGTATTCTTTGGGGGAACAGGGTTATTTAACAACACTTGCAAAACTATATATCAGATGGTAGGATGATTGATGAGTGATGAATTGGAAAGAATTTAGAAGGAAGATGCCATAGCCTATACAAAATAAGAGGTGTTTTTTTTTAAATCAGAACCCAGTGTCAGGAATGTTAATAAAAAAGTGAAGCTATCCCTGTAACAGGCCATGAAGGCCCATAGGGTTGTGAGAAGTTGAGGTTTTCACATCTTCTAAACACTCAGCTCACAGATGGCAGTAAGGTTGTCAGCCTTGTGCGCTGGCTGCCCTTTACTCTCCAGGAAAATTCCTGGTGCTAATTTCTGTTAGAGGCTGAGTGAACCCCAGGGCCATGGTGCGGCTGGAAGGATTAGGTCAATTGAAAAATCCAGTGACCTCTAACATCATGTGTGAGAGGGCTAAGGACATTTCAGCAAAATTTGTATGTGCAGTATGGTCTTTTTAAACGAGAACTTCATTCAAAGTAAGGTGTTTGCTGTAGTGTATATCTGATTGCAAAAAGTTTTGAAAGTATTTACCAGCGTGCTGTGTACATAACTGAGCACAGTAAAGCATGTTGATAGTCACTGCCTGCAACAGCATTAGTGTGAAGTCAGCAGTGATATTGTATACAATGGTTTTCAGTTCCAGACTGTGTGGGTTGTCATGGTATGCATTGTCTTTAATGTAGACCCACAGGAGATCATCTGGTTTTAACAAATGTGGCGAGTGTGGGGCCATAGTCCTTTCAATATGATTCAGTATCCAAACAACAGCAATAGGTTGCACATACTCACCTGTGCTGTATGACATGTTGTGATGTCTTGTTAAAACCATGCTTTGGCAATTTGCTTTTCCATATGGAGTCCCAGACTGCCTCTGAGGTCTAGTGGTCAGAGTTCCTGACTACAGATGCAGATGTCCTAGATACAATTCCCGGCACTACCAGATTTTCTGAGAGGTAGTGGCTCTGGAATGGGGTCCACTCAGCCTCTTGAGGATAATTGAGAAGCCATTTCAAGGAAATAGTGGCTCCAGTCTAGAAAACCAATATTAATGGCCATGGGGTTCCATTGCTCTGACCACGCAACACCCTCTATCTGCAAAAGTTGGCACTAACTTCACTGACAAGCGGCAGTTGCTCGGTCAGTATAGTTTTCTTGCAGACTACAGACCGTGGAATTTTGTATGGGGTCTCAGGAATTTGTGGTCTATAACACTGTAGCACTCCAAGTTAATACTTTTTTGAAGAAAATGAGCCCAACTATCCAATGGCAAACAGTTGCACACCACACCCCAATCTTGTCATGGTGAAAGGGAGTTTCTATCAACCATATGCAAGTATATTCCGAGAATTCACATAATGTGCTAAATGGGACCATGCCTCTTCTGAGAATGATGTAATGTCTTAACACTAGAGGATCAGCCTCCACCTTTGCACTCAACCACTTACATTAATTGTATTTTTCACAATCAGGTGCTAAAAATTTCTGGATGGAAACAATTGCAATGTCTCACTGCTTTGTGACAACTACTGTACAACATTCCAGCATGTTTGGAAAGTTTCCCCAGTGACTTGAGTGGACCTGCATTCAGTCTTTCTAACCTCTACTATGTGAGTCTCTAGCAATAGTCAACTGGGGAACATGTTTTGATGAGTTCACATTTCCTGTCTTCCTGAACTATTTCACAAACATCCGTATCACAGATTTTGCAGTTGCTGGACTTCCAGATCAGTGGCTGTATTCTCTCTGGGTCGCTCTAAATGATTCTATTATGAGGTAACATGACACCAATAAAATATGTTTCTCTCACTGAATGCCATGTTATTTCCTGGTTGCACTGTGTACTGCAGGTCTGAGTTTGTCAAAATGGCTATAGCCCTCTGATGTTTGATGTTAGTAACATTCCTAACATTGGGTTCTCATTTTAAACAAATCAGCCTATACTATCCCAGCATTTACCTGGATGGACTGAGGAAACTTGTCTAAGATGTCAGTTAGGATAGCTTATGACCAGGTGAGATTTCAATTGAGCACCTCATGAATAAAAGTTTAGAGCATTACCTCTAGACCAACCTTTTTATTTTGATATATGTGTGTAAGTAATCACACTTCCCATTATGTAATATCCTAAATTTTTCACCTACTTCATCCTCCCTAGGTCAGAATATTTTCTTGGTCTCTGAAACATTTGTTTTCTGTGTTGTCCCCTCAAAGTAAGATGATACATTTCATACCTGCAGAAAACAGCTGGCAAAAATTTTGTTTTGTATATCCTGATCTTCAGAATTGTAGGAAGTATGTTGGTTGAGATTACATTTAACTAAATTATATTTTAAATTAGCATATTCCTTAGCATTTTCAATCATACATAATATTTAAGCAACTGCCCTTATGTGGGGGACACAGTTTGTGATGCCTTTGCAAGTAAAAAGCGTTCTGGTCCATGATGTAGAAGACCAGAATTTTCTGTAGGAGTCAGCTTCTTTAGCCAAATGTTACACTTCTGGAAAGTCTATAGGTCTAACTACAAAATTGTAGCTGTGTTTGCAAGCTAAAATCAGTCATCATATATATTGTTAGCTAATTATATCTACAAATACATATATGGATTACATATATTCTAGAAATCGCACATTCTGCTTAAAATATCCTCAAGCAGGGCATATGATAGTGTAGATTGTAACTTTTAACATAATTCTAATTAGTAAACTAACATGGCTCTTTGTGGTTGAAGTATATGTGTCATTATATGAATTGTTGCTTTATGTATAGCCAAGAAGAGAACTATATTGTTGTGCTTAGTTCATTTCAGGTTGTTCAGGTTCATTATCTCTCCTGTTATGTATTATTAGTCTTGGGGAATTATTAATCCAGTTTTGTTTTACATATTGCCTTGAAGTCTTGCTTTTCAGTGCTCTCAGACATACACTACTGTATCAACATATTTTCTCCTTGAGTTACAAGTGCTGTTGATGCATGTATTGTTTGTGTTGAACTTTTCATTTCAGAATGAAAATGGTGTTGCTGTAGAGGACAGAGTTGCCTTTGCCTGCACTTTCCTTTCTGATGCAAAACTACATGAATATCTGAAGGAGCTGATAATCAAATTAACTGAGGAAGGCGATTTGGCTGGAATCTTGCTCACAGGTTTATGTGGTATTTCTATCATTGTCATGATAAATTGACCCAGATTTTTCTAACAAACTAACTCCATGGAGCTGAGCCCTTCTTGAGAAGCTGCCAGTTTTTTAATATAATTTAAAATATGCCTTAGACATATGTGGAATTTTACTATATGCTGTATTATTTTCATTATAATTATAAATGGTTATGTTGAGTAAATGATCGTCTCTCTGGTCTGGTGGTCAGAGTTCCTGGCTACAGATCCTGAGGTCCCGGGTTCGATTCCCGGCACTATCAGATTTTCTGAGAAGTAGTGGGTCTGGGATGAGGTTGCACTACAAACTTGATAACCAAAATAAAGACTAACGTAACCTGGTTTTCTGAAGTGGAGTTTTCTCCATAGCAGGTGTGGTCATATTTCCAGGACTTGGGAGGTAGCATAATAGGTATACTGGTTTGACTGTAATTTAATTATTACATTAATGTTGAAGCTTTCATTAAGGAATGACTAGACTTCACATAAAGGTAACAAAAGTTTTGATATAGTGTATGATTTTTTTGTACACATACAGGGAACTGAGCAAGTTGGTGTAGTGGCAGTGCTGTAGGTTTGTATTTTGGAGGTGCTCAGTTTGAATCTCAGACAATACAGCAGATATCCTGATTGAAGTTTTTCATGATTTGTCTCAGTCCCTTCAGACAAATGTTGGTATAGTACATACAGTACATACGACACAGCACGCACGTAAACTACACAACTAACAATAAGAACATACAATCAAGAGAAATAAACAACATCATCTACCATCGGGAGGAAAACAACATGACCCAATGTTGGCTCACGATTTTTAACATAATAACTAATTTTTACATACAAAAGATTTTTAATACAATTTTAAATACATAGGGTAGCTATTTTATGGAAAAGTGAACATCATATTGCGTGCAGTGGGAAATCCCAATCAGAATACCCAGCAAATATGCTTAAACGAAACAACATCATACGTAAATCTACACTTCAAGAAGCGTCAACGTGAATGCATAAGGCAAACTTTAAAACTAACTGTGATATAGTGAGCATTATTCATAACCTAAGTGCATATTGTTAAAATATTTTATGTGACAGTGTTTCCTGATCATAGTGGTGCGCCTCTGAGGATGATTCTTTTGAATCGAAACATGTAAGGTGAATAAAGACTGAAGTGTTGTAAACTTGTATGTCACACTGGACTGAAAATTATCCACTTTGATAGTATTTCAGTTAGGTGGCAGTCACCTCCTTTCATATCCATTCCAATTCATTATTCATCAGTCATCCTACCATTTGACATTATAAGAGGGCTATTCAGAAAGTCACCTCCAGTGGGCTGTTAACAAAACAGGCAATCAGAAAAAAATATTATATACAGAAAATACATACATACATACATACTTAAGTTACTTTTCAATATAGTCACTGCCACAATTAAGGCAGTTGTATTGGGGAATAACTTTTTGTATGCCTGTGTCAAAGAAGTCTGCCACATGTGAGGTCAGCCATGTTTTGACACCTTCCATCAACTCCTCATTATTGCTGATGTGCTGTGATCCCAGTCAGTTCTTCAGGTAGATAAATAGGTGGAAGTCACTCAAAGCAAGGTCAGGGCTGTAAGGAGGGTGGTCAAACAATTGCCAATTGAAATGGTGTAGCAGTGCTTGAGTGCAAGCAGCTGTATGCAGTCGCAAATTGTCATGGAGGAATACTACACCAGATATCAGCATTCCATGCCTTTTGTTCTAAATGGCCCTACACAGTTTTTTTTAGTGTTTTGCAACATACTTCTGATGTTATTGTGGTCCCTTGTTGCATTAGTGCCACCACCAGTAGTCCTATTACCACCTGGTTCATTTTGCCAGGTTATGAGTTATAGTAATAGTACTAACCTGATATTTGAAAATTCATAGAGAAAGAACTGTGTTCATTATTGGCATGAATTTTTCACTGGTTAGTAACTCCAGGCATGTAATTGTAGTGGGTGCCAGTGGAGTTTAAGTCAAAGGTCTTAAAACAGTGAATTGACTTCTCTAGGAATGTCTGTCTGGTTTTCATTTGAAAGCAAGAAATTGTTTTTATTGCCTCAGTACTAAGATCAATGTGAAGTCACAAGACTGGTCTGTTTCTTGTCATAAAATTAAGTGTTTATGAGTTAAGGTCAGTGCAGTTCTTGATGCAGTCCATGCAAGACAGATATTCAGTAAACTGTTCTTGAGTAGCTGCAGAATTTGTGGCTCCTCAAGAAGGGCTCAGCTCCAGGAGTAAGTAATATAAGTTTAGATGCTAGATGCTATGCTAGAACATCTTTTGTAACAGATAGTAACACATAAATAATCCAGATTAAGAAAAATGTACTGTAATTCCTGACACTAAGAGTTTCTGAGGGCATGTACTGTCTTCGCTCGCTTGGAAACCGGGATCGTGGGTTTGAATCTCACTCAGGGCATGGATGTTTAGTTTGTGTGTGTGCGTTTCTCTGTGCCTTGCAATAAGCTGATCACCCGCCCAAGGAGTCCTACCTAATGTGTAAGATCTAGAAAAACCGAAGTGAACAGAGAAGTTCATGGAGGTAGGCCTAGTCCCACTCGGGCTGTAGTGCCAAGGAAAAAAAAAAGAGTTTCTGTGAACACTTTCACTTAAGTGGTAGTAATAGTAATATTGCTCAAGAGGATATTTCTCTTCAACAAGAATGAAGCAGGGGTCATTTAAGAATAGTCAGGGTAAGATCTAAACAAGGTCCGCGCCATAGCTCAAGTTGTTAGTCTCTGGCTTCCCACCGCGGTGGCCCAGGCTCAATATTGGGTCTGGTCAAGTGGGATTTGTGGTGGACAAAGTGGCGCTGGGGCAGGTTTTCTCCAAATACTTCAGTTTCCCCTGCCAATCTTCATTCCACCAATTGCTCCACAATCACCCTCACCTATCATCTGGGGCTGGTACAATAGGCCAGAAGTGGCCGCAGTACAAGGGACTTAGTCCCACTCCACTAGCAATAAAAAAAAGATCTAAACAAAAAAGCCCTGATTCTGAATTACACTGGAGTGGCAATATTGAAACAATACAGAGGAATGCATTTCCTAACTTGCTCCTTCATTATGGAAGACAGCATACCAGTTAAAATTTTCAGCATCTCCTTTGAGGACAAAAAAATTCAAGATGTGGGATGGAACCATCTCATATGAAACACAACAAATTTAAAGGAGGAACAGGAAGGCCCTATGAAATGAAAGGGAGTATTTTCCGAGTTGAAACTTGGTAAAATACAGGACCTGTAAGTGTTTTGTGCAGTCGTCATTCACCATGCCAGGGTTGTGTAAACTGTGTGTAATTATTGTAACAAAAGACTGATAATGCAGACCAGTTAAATTATATCTGCTGGTATGTCTTGCAACAAATTTCACACAATTTCGTCTGTGTTATATATCAGTAATGACACCAACACATACAGATATTCAGGTGACAACTGAACCATGACCCCCTGTTCAAAATTCACCTAATATTAAACAGTCTGGCTTCCAAATTTGGGAAGTATACATTCCTGAGAAAGAACTCACCATCAGCAAGGTAGTATATGCATTCTGTAGTTTTCTGAGTGTGTGTGAAGGGGAAGCCATGTAAGTATCAGATCAAAGATTTTCCAGCTGTGTGTTGCAAAGAGTGACTATGTACACAACATCAAAATATATGTTGGCATGTCCTACTGATGCAAAACATAACTTATCCATAGGCTGTGTCAGAAGGTGCATCAAAATATATGTTGGTACATCCTACTGATGCAGAACATAACTTATCCATAGGCTGTGTCAGAAGGGGCATCAAAAGATGCAAGATGCACAAAAGATGTTACAATATGTTGGCACATCCTACTGTTGCAGAACATAACATATCCATAGGCTGTGTTAGAAGGGGCATACCCTTTATATTGATTGATGGTTTCCCAACCTGAAACTGTTTGATTGTCTGTGGCCATGTAAGATAGATTGTGAGGATATCAATTTTTTAATATTATCATTATTGAATATCAAGTTCTTTTAAAAAATAATCATTTATGACTGACTATTTTTGGCTGTGTATGTGGTTAAAATGAAGTACTGGATTAATGATGTTATCTTTAGTATGAGATTTTTCAGGTATGCTCTGGAAAATGAAATATTATGATTGCTGTGGGTTTAGGGACAAGCAATGAAGGTGTTGAGCTCCTACAGAGGTATCTGAACATGACAGGAGATGTTCAGAGTGTCAGCTTATTGGCTGCCCGTGTGTTTCCTAGAGAATTACTGCTTGACTCAGGAGTGCAAGAGTGGATTGCTAGGTAAAGAATTGCTATTATACTATGGTTTTAGCCTGCTTTTCTTATTATAACTTCTTTGCACAGGGGCATACATAGAACATATATGTCTCTCTGTCCACGTAATTGAAGTTCAGAACCACTGGACAGACTTCGATGAAGTTTGATATGAATGTTATGTCTTTAGAGGTCACTACGAACTCATACTTCCAAGTTTCCTACAGTTGGTAATAATATGGCCAACACACACAGGCTTGAGAAGAGGTTGAAATAACACTAGAACCACCTAAGTTATGGTCCTGAAATGATATTCATTACAGATCTTCAAAAAAGACACCAAATTTGTTAGTCTCAAAATGAATAACAGTATTAACAGCAATTATAGGAAGCATGGTAACCATTTGGATTTATGTGTTTAAGGGAAGGGGGATTACCAGACTATATAAAGTCAATTGGTAGGACAAAATAACAAACTGAAAAGTATTTGGATAGAAGTGGTCATGACCTGATGGAGCCATTATCATATCTGCCTGGATGGGCTGCAGAAAACTGTAGAAAATCTCAGATAGAATAGCGAGTGTCCTCGCCAAGGTTTGAACCAAGCACCTTCTGAATACTAATCTAGAATGTTATTTTAGAACTAGCTTGTTTAGTCATTTAGTTTAGATTTAACAGAGTGAACAGTAATTAAACCTTTACCATGACTGTCCCTGATCTACTGAGTGTACACTCTTCTAATATCTGCCCTGTAGTAGCTCAGCAGCTCTTATTAATCATGGCACCTTACTTAAGGGGACTTCATATTAGTTGCTTGGTTTTATATTAGCCCCAAGTAATAAAATCTTCAGTTGAAACTCACATTCATACAGGATGAACAAGGCTGTTCATTTTCTGTTATGAAATCTTTCACAGATAAAACTGCGCATAGTCATAGCAGTGAGTAATAATTGCCATACTGACTGACATAATCTTACAGATGTTTGAGCTTTAGGAAAGATGTTTATAATCCAGTTCTGGGAGTATATAGTAGTTGTAGGATTTGAGGTTCTCACAGCAGTGGTTATGAAGAGTCCTATCTTCTGGGATATAATGCCATGTAGCGTATTGAAATTCAACTGAAGTTTTGGAAGGTCATGTCACCTCCAGAGCTCTGCTTGCTGCCTGCTTCATGTTGGTGCCTTGCTTGGATAAATTTTTNGGACGATGGATAAAGTCCAAAATCCCAACATATCAGTGTGTTATACACCATCGTCAGAATCCTATAGTAACTACATAGCATTATATCACAGAAGATAGGACTCTTCATCTATTAATTCATATGTAGCATAATCATTCATTTTCTAGACTTCCCACTGTATGACACTACTACAGTTATTACAACACTCCAATATTACATGGAGGTAGAGTAAAATTTGATGAGTCATTTGCTGTTCATTTCAACTTGTAACTTGCCTCTCTCAGAAGTAACTCCCTGTAAAGTAAGTTTGTGTGTTGTGTCTTCTGCGATATGCAATATATAAAAAATGTCAGATTTCAAGGAACGGGATATGTGCATTGAATTCTGTAATTAAGCAGGATTGCAGCAGAGAACTTTGATATATTAAAACTTGCTTTCATAGGAGAGAATGAGCAGAACTCTTGAACATTCTACTGATTTTGCACCTTTGAAAATGAAGTGACATCAATTTCTGCTGAATTTTCAGGACATTCATCTGTGAGCAAGGACAGGTTCTTTAGTGGGTTTCTTCAGTTCCTGCAGGCAAATTCTGGGATAGTATTGCACAAACACTTGTGTTCACATCCTTTCCAATTCATTATGTACTAGTCCTACCATTCAACACTAATATTTGAGTAGGTGAAAGGATTTTTAACTAAACTAAATAAATAAATATTATGACCATTAAACAGAAAATATAATAATTCAGTGTTCAAATTCAAAAAAGTAAAGTAAGAAAAGAGAATGTGTTGGTAGCAATCTTTGGGACCACCCACTGAAGGCTAAATGATAGATGAATCATATAAATATGTTGAAATTCAACATTCAGGAAGCTAAAGAAGAATATTGTTTTTGTCTTTGCAGTTATCGTATTCTGCTTGATGCTTGGCGCCTTTGGAATCAAAGAGCCCATTTTGATATATTACTAAGTGCTAGCTCTCCAAATGACAAACCACCACAGCAAGTATTTGTGTCATGTAACTTTTGTGGAAAGAGTATCTCAGCTCAAATGCTGGGAATTATCAGAAACAGAGGTGCCTTTGCTCGCCTAGGAGCAACTTTACAAAAGGTTAAAGTGAGTACCCACTGCTGTGATTTGCTGGATCTCTTTTATTGGAGCCTGGATACTTCTGGTGGAACTTTGAAACTCAATCAGTAAGATTTTTATTCTTTTATATATTGTATCCACTGGGTTCCCTCATATTTTTGAGAGCATCTGCGTATCCTCTATAAACAAAATCTCAAGCCACCCAAATCTGTGCTTCATGAAACTGTGTGCGTCTTAAAAATAGTACAGGTGACAGTTTTCCATTGGATGTGACTTCAGTGTCAGATTTTCAGTATACTGGACAGAATATTTAACAACTATATTGTGCTGACTACTGACCTCCAGCTAATGCTGAGGTCAAGAAAATGTGGATCTATACATCCACTCCCCCATACACCTTCATGACATAGTACTTAAGTAGTTAAGCACAAGGACAACTTTACCTTTATAGTGCTGACTAATTTGACAATTTTAATACAGTCTCTTTTGAGAGGAATAAATACCATGGAAAATGATTCGAAACAAAGGAATATTATGAATGGGAAAATGGTGTTTCATAAGTTCATTACATATTTATAACTTGCTCCTAATCATTTGAGTACTAATATTTTATAGAATTATTGCATAAATATTATTAATAATCCACATTGTGTGCTGAATATGATTTGTAGCAGACTCAGATTTTGCGAATTTAATCTAACAGCATTTATAAGAAATACATGGTGCAGCAGGAGAATATGATGGTTTTTGGAGTGCTGTTGAGTGGGACTTGGTTTCAATAAAAAGAAAATAATTTCAGTGGAAAATCAGTAATGTAATGCAGTTTATCAGATTATACTCATTTTTTGAAAATAACAGTTATTAAATGCATTACATCTGTCAATGCAAAACTCTTGCCTGTATCTCCTTTGGATATGTACTACTGATTTGTAATTAATAAATATTGTATCCACGAACATGCATTGCACCACTTGCTAGCTCCTCATGCACAGTCATGACTGTCGTGTCAAAAGCAACTGCATGGGTTGGGGAACCATAAGCAGTATCTCCTCCCCACATCCTACATCATTCAGCCAGCCACAGCAGCACTTTGAAAACTGTCACGTTCCATTGCTATATTTATAACAGAAATCATACCACAAGGCATGTTTGACAAATCTAATAGCCAGACTGGTTGATGATTTCACCTGTATAAATTTCTGTTATCTGCAGGAAGGTCAGCAAGTTGTAGGGAACATTGTGCCCCTGTAGGTTCTTTATGCTTGTCTCTAATGTTCATGGGTAGGTCCCTTTTTCATCCTGAGAAGGTGCTAACAATTCAATTCATTTATTTCATCCATAGCTATAGAAATTAAAATGGGACATGTCAGATAACAACAACATTACATCAAGCATAACATTCAAAGTACATGAATATAGAATAATAAATAATAAATACCTAAGAGTAGAGAAAATATTTAAAACATATATACAGATTGTTTACAACATACAAACAGACTATTTAAAACATATTCCTGTACATATAAATAATTTATCTAAAACAGATTTATTTGTCAGCAAGCAGTCCATATCAACAGTTGTTAAAAAATTCCTGAAGAGAATAAAAGACGTTACACAACAGTAGACAGGTATTGTATAACCATGTTGATTGAAGTTTCTTCCACATCAAAATTTATTGGTTGGGTTCATTGTTTTGATTTGTTTCCACAAATTTTATTGTAAATGTCATATTATCTCCCATTGGCAAAACCTGATTGTAGTGGCTCATACGGATTTAGGTGATAGGTTGAAGCTGTCCAATTTAGGAGAAGGTCAATTGATTTTTTTTGGTGTGGTCAGGGTTCCGTAAAATTCATCACTTTCTTCTCACAGGCTCCTTCTGAGACATGTAGCAGGTGGCTTGGGTGAAGCTTGAAGCCAGCTGCACATCAGTAAATCAGTCAAGTTAATGTGTAACATGAGACTTGGTTCTTTAGAAATTATGAAGTTTGATAGTGGAAATCATAATTTTAGCAGGGTCCTTCTGGACTCGTGCTACCCCAGATTCCAGTTTGACAGTCACACAGCAGGTGGCAGAGTTCAACCCTAAACTCTGGCTGCTTGAGTATTTCTTTTTCTAATTGGAGGAGAAAAATTAAGCAGCCTCCCAGCTTGCTCGGTCCAGCCAATCAAAACCTGAAGTGGGATGTCCTTTGCCTGAGTTTTGGGTGACCAGAGCAGGTGCCTGTCTTCAGAGCGTGCTCTGTGTGTGTGTGTGTATGCACATGAGAGCATGTACATGTGTTTGCCTGTATGATGTAGAGTCAGGAACCATGGACAGTTATTCTGTTCCCATGGTAAGGGCATAAAGTCACAGTTCACCAGTGGTGTATGACTTTGTCATCCTAGAAGGATAACATCTCTAGGGTATTTCTTGAGATCAGGTCATGGTAGGGGTCCACATGCTGTCACAGACTGGAAGATTTAGGTGTATATCTCCTCTTTCCTTCCCCTGTGGCAGGGTAATGCCAGTGGTTTGGGAGTACAGCCCATTTTATCATGTCTCCTATGTGTCCCTTAATTCCTTGTTAGAAGGAAAATCCCATGTGAATGTCAAAGCCTGTTCTGAAACTGTTACAGTCACGATCCTAGCCCCACAGAAAATCTTAAAAGACAAGCATATTTTACATACATAAATCCCTTGGTAGCTTTCCTGGAAAGTTTAGGAATACAACGTGTTTGAAGGTCATGGATTCAATTTCCAGTGAGGTCAGTGGATTTTTTAATTGACCTAATTCTTTGTGTCACACTGTGGCCCTGGGGTCAAATCAGCCTTTAACAGAAATGAGTGCCAGCATTCTTGCTGGGAATAAAGGGCAGCCAGCACATGAGGCTGACAACTTTGCTGCCATCTATGAGCCAACTGTCGAGAAAATGTGGGAGCCTCGATATCTCACAACTCTGTGGGCCTCCATGTCTTGTTACATGGATAGCTTGCCTTGACTGTTTGAAGAATAGTGTGCTTTTGGTTGAAGTCATCAACAGGAAGCAGGCTGAGACCCTCCTTAAAGCTGATTCTTCTGACTGTCATTGTACGCATGTTGAGAAACGCTCATCCTGGGGAATTGTAACGACTGACTCCCTCGATGGCATATCAAACAAGGAGATCCAGTCATCACTTTTGAACCAGTTTGTTTCAGAGACAAACTGATTAACCAGGAATAGTGATGGCAAACCATTCCCTCTTAGATTTTATGTTGAATAAGTAATGTCCATCCACCTTTACATTTCAGACTTTATGCTGTGTTTCTGGTGTCAGAGGTTTTGGCACACCCAACAGTGGTGTGCCTGCAGCCTTATGTGACAACTTGAGCAAGAGTGGATGTGGTGAGGCCTCCTTGTCCCAACCCATCTTGCTTTGTTAATGTCACCAGAGTGCATATGACGTGATAGGAAATGTTCTATTCACCTAGATGACAAAACTATTCAGGAGCTTAATGGTGAAGGGTAATCTCTTCTCTGGTGACGCCCTAAAGAATTTCCTGGAAAGCAAACCATAAGTTGCAGCATCCATTAGAAGCTGTTCCTGATGAGATTATGTGGCAACACAGACATCTTTAAGCCTCACCCATAACACCAGTTCATTAACAGGCATCATCACATCCCATACAGTAGTTACTATGAAAGGCAAGACATGTACATGAGACGAATAGAATATCTGTCTGATTCTGCTGCTTCTGATAATAGATATGTCCTCATCAAGCACCAGTGTACAGCATGAACACATAAACAACAAATTCTCAGTTGCTGAGCACATGATGGAAACCTCAGCTAACAAGAAAACTTCCCAGTTTCTTGTCTTGATCAGGTAATCAAAAGAAACATGCCCAGACTCCATCCACACCCAACCATAGCAAGTCCCAATCTGACAGGTTGAACTTGCCAACTGACAATTCTAGCACCTCAAGAACTAAGCATAGAGGGAGACTGGAATGATCTCTGCCTAGAGGAAGGAGCAGTGTGACATTACACGTAAATTGCAGACTCTTGGAATCATGAGACACATTGCAGAGGTGGCCATTGCTATGCAACGGTCTGGTACAACATATTTTTGCAGTAACGGTTGCACACACAACAGTCAGGAGGAGTGTTCTCTAATAGATCCACATTAAACCAACATAAGCAGAAGGCCAAAGCCAGCACCAGGGCCATAGATGTCAGAATGCACTAGAAGGTCCCAATTGCCCAAGCTGTAACCAAGCAACAAGTACTGAAGACACAGCAGACTATGAAGACTAGTAAAAGTGCTGTAGTTACCCAGGGATCGTGAATATGAGAACGGTGTTGTCATTAGTTGTAAATAAGATGATCTGTTGTTAATAAATACAATTACCAGTCTGAACCCTGTGTTTTGTCACATATCATGTGATAATTTGGCTACTTTTCAAAACTTGGGAATTGGTGAATTTGTAATTTTAAATGATTTCTATCATTAGTGATTACTGTTTAGAGGAACTTAGAACCTTCGAGGATGCTGCTCACACCATTAATCACTTCCTTAACAGTCAAGCAAATAATACCTTCTACCAAGTTACAGGATATAGTACTAATTGGTAAACTGTGAAGGTATCCCTGTAACAGGCCATGGAGGCCCATAGGATTGTGAAATATTGAGTCTCCCACATTTTCTAGACAATTGGCTCACAGATGGCAGTGAAGTTGTCAGTCTTACGTTATGGCTGCCCTTTACCCCCCAGGAAGTTTCCTGTTAGGGGCTGAGTCAACCCCATGGCTGTAGTGTGGTTGAAAAGATGAGGTTAATTTAAATATCAAGTGACCCCTTTGGGAATTGAACCTACAACCTTCCAGTTTGTAGCATGGTGCCTCAACCAGCTATGCTACCATGTGACCCTAATATTAATTTGTAGTAACCCCTCTTTGATACCTAAGGGCAAATGCACTGATTGGCTAGTTGGCCCAAGAATATGGATAATATATAATTGGATGAATAAATTAATGAAACTCAAGATATGTATTAGCTGAGGGTTTAGAAAGTAGAACATTGCATCTGAGAAGTCTATTGGAATATCTTTGGCGTCACAGGGATGAATGAATGCCTGGGTATTTCAGTAATGCTTCTAGCAAAACATCATTGTTTCTTGTGTTCTTTTTAGGTCTTAAATAAGTGTAAGTAGTATCAAGACTTACGTGTCCAGCAGCTCATCATTTGGGCACCCAGCACTGTAAAGTTTACTGTTGTATTATGACCCTCACACATAGAAAACAACATTTTCACTGACTTAGGTCCTGGTTATCAACAGTTATATGCACCATCTATGGGTGTATGTGTGTTACTTGTTAGTAGGATATGTAACTCTAAACCCTAATGCAATGCATGAAATATAAGGACTGCTTGACTACACCAAATAATAACCGCCCCAGCTTAAGAGTGTAGACAGGTTTGCCAAATAAATGAATGTGCAATTATTGCACGTCCTATAATAATTCACTCCTTTTTGACATTATATGTACAGTGTTTCTAGATGTTCCAAAATAATGTTTTGCAGATGTCATCATGTCCACAGTGTCGTAAACCTTTGCCTCGTTGTGCCATTTGTCTTGTTCATATGGGGACACCTTCAGGTCTGCAAAACAACAATAGTACCAACAGCAATGGTCGTTCAGCAGCCAGTAATAAAATGGCAGAATTTTCATCCTGGTTCACATGGTGTCAATCTTGTCGACATGGTGGACATGCAGCCCATATGACCCACTGGTTCAGGTGTACTTTCCTAATTATCTTTACAGTCCAGTTAGAACCACCGCTTACTTGTATAGCATATCATATTGTCCGTTTGTGCTCATTTAAAGGAAGATGTTGATGACCACTGCACTTTAGCATCAGTGCTTTAAGTGTGTGCATGCTCTTCTCAGCCATAGTTTCCATAATGGTTACTGGCAAACAGTTGATGCATACCAGAAACTTGTCTGAAGTCACATGCGTTTGGATGCAATATATATTTTGACTTTGCTTTCCCATTCTCTACATTTTTCTTTAGAGCACCAGCAAACATGTTTAAAGAAAAGTAATTTATATATATATATGTATATGTATATACACACACGTATATGCAGCGAGTAAAAATATAAAGACTTTGTAAAATGTGAAATATTCATTATATATGTCATTACTTAACAAGCTCTTATGACTACTTTCCTTGCATGACAAATTTTTTTAGTACTAGTCATCTGGTGCTATGCAATGGCTCAAAGCACATTTCTGTAGCAGCAGGAGATTAACCTTCAAAACGCAGACTCCCTTGTTAATTTTTCACATGGACAGTCCAATCACTAACATACCAGTGGAAGAAGTCTCGCAAATCTTCAGAATTCAGCTTAATATGGGTCCTTCTTTCTCGGACTGCTCATTACTGCATGGTCAGGACATCATGAAATTACTGGACATTTGTTTAAAAACTGTGTACTTTCAGGAAGAGGATAAATTCTATCAGCAAAAAGAAGGAATGGCAGTAGGAAGCTCACTATTTCTGGTGATCAGTAACACTTTTGAGGACATAGCACTGGATACAGCAGACCACAAACCCACTAAGTGGCCCAGATATATTGAGTATACTTTTGAGGTTTGGCTGGATGGACCAGCAAGACTTCAACAATTTTCTTCACCATCACAACAGCCTCAGACATACACTTGGTGTGAAGCACACTTCATAGGCATGTGTTTTCATGATGGAACCTGGGAAAACATAAAAATGTGTAGGCAGGATAGGTGGTTTCCAGGTTGACATTCAAGTCAGGTATCCTAGAAGGCAGTCCAGATGCTGTGCTACTGAAGCTTACTTGATAAATGGAAAAGAAATGTTTTAAATAGGACTGTACCACAGAATGATTCCATATAGGTAGATTTTCTTGCACTGCACAGAGAAAAATTACTATACAATATATATCACATCAAATCTATAAGTGTGAGTAGAGATGTCCCCATGCTTACTTAAGAACCATGTCCTGAAGACATGTAGAAGTGGAGGTATAGCCTTACACATTCTTAATTTAAGCACTAATTCAAGATGAGTGGTCAGATTCATGTCTCAGTTGTATTACTCCTGAGGAAATAGTCTGTAGTACCCAATGGTTGGAAGGTTGGGTGAGCTCCAGAGACAGTTTGGGCAGTGAGGAAAAGAAAAAATGTCTGCCCCTGCTGGGTATCAAACCCCAGTCTTCTAGACCATAGCCTAATCACTATACTGACTGGGCTATCCTGGTTTTCATTAAATCTGTTGACAGCTATACTCGTGCACATTTCTAATGATGATAAAGTCTACTTGGTACTTACATTGAAATACATCACCATTTCCTTCAGTAGAATTGTTTGCAGTAAAGATGATTATCTTGATTCTGAGTTTTTAACTTCATTTCATTTCCTGTGTCATCCATGAAAGGAAACAAATAAATGTGTTTATGTTTCAGGGAACATTCAGAATGTCCTGTAACATCCTGCGCTTGCCGCTGTCTCTCTCTGGATGCAGCTAGCAAAGTTACCTCCGTCATTACTCATAGTGGGAGAATGCAGCAGTAACAAACATTGATGCTTCGTGGTAATTCTGTAAGATCCCGTACAGGATTTAATATACAGAATATGACCTGGCCAAGCAGACTTTTATTGTTTTGAATTAAGGAAACATCTGTATTGATGTGCTTGTGTCTTTATGTTTAAATCAGCATGCTTACTGTACTTGGCATATTATACTCAGACATCTTTGTTGGTCAGATGTGTCACAGTTATGGCCAGAGGCCAGGATGATTAGGTGACCATACCTAGGGGTGTAAGTCAAACAAAAGAACATAGCTCCCTGAAGCCTTTGAGTCACACTGTAGTGGTTTGATTTGGAATGTTTAAGACCCACTGCACAGCATGTTCACACAGAATGAACTCTGTAAAATTTACTTCACTGTTGAAGTATCAATCAGTTTCTCTATTTGTTCCATCACACAGTCACTGTGAAGATGCAGTCTGCATATGACTCTGTTGGCAGTCATTACAAAGATGCAGTCTCCATATGTGATGTGTGAAGAAATGTTGAATACAAGCTGACTCGGATTGTTCCTTGTATTTAAGGTACAGATTGTAGTAATGGAATGTGACAGTAGAGTGATATTGGAGAGCTGGGTTCAAAATATTCTATCTGGAAATGGAATAGATCAAAATCTGCCTGATCAGTCCAGTTTATTTTAGGAAACAAATCAGGTCTTTGTCCAGTTCATTTAACTTGATCTCACAGAAGTGAAGTCTATGGTCAGGATTTTCTTTCAACAACCCATTAGTTAATCTTGAATGCAGTACTTTAATTTGGCTTAATGTAATATCCATTGAACTGGCTGTCTAGAGATTCCTTGCTCTGGAGCAAGCCTACAAGTAGATTTCTTAGTTCTTTTAATTACTACTTGCCAAATTAACACTTTTTTTCCTCTAACCTTGCTTTTCTAGGTCACCACATTCCAAGAAAATCATATGGTACCATGTTCTTCAAATTGCTGGTGCAGATTGTACATGGCCTTACATGGTGGTAGACCTGAACCAAATTAATGATCATACTACTGTGCAGCACACTGGAAAACCGCTTTTGTATCACGTTTTTAAAGCAAAAACCTGTACTTATTTAGTCAATGTAATCACACCTGAAACATGACAGAACAGAAATGGTGTGGAACAGGTGTTTCTGTATGCGTCAATACACTAGGACACTTTGACTGATAATGACTGGGAGGAAGCGGCTGTTACTACCTGTTCTGCATGCAACAGTATACTGGGCAACCAGTACACCCCAGTGGATTGTGACTTTGTGCCATCTTGCATATTAAAATGTAAAGTCACCATATGAGTATATGTAATTTATTTGTTTATGCTGATTAAATACTATTAAAACCTTGACATATTTCCACATTAACCTTTAAGAGCCGAAGGACACCATATGGGGACCTTTAAAGTAAAGCTGAGGTGGCCAAAAGACACCATATGGGTATGCGCAGTCCACGCGTGCGCACAGTGTTTTAAAATCTAATTTTAAGATAGAAATTCTTGTTCTACTTACATTATTTTTGGACACCAGCTTTATAAGTAGACAGTCTTCCCTCCTGCATCATCTAACTGAATGTTGCATGTCACTGAATGCAGAGTCCGACGTCGCAATTCATGCACTTTGTCAGTAATGTACTCTGTTTTCCACACGAAGCGCGCACACGCAATGTTAGTCTCGTATTAGCAGGAAGTAAGCCAGTGATGTCGAGTGGTGTCCTCTATTCATAACGCTTATAAAACATCACAATTTCAACTATGCACCACGGCCCCTTTTCGCATTCAAGGAGTTGAAATTCAGAGGCAGCTCATAAATCACACAATTCAGAATGCGTTACAGTTTATTCTGAAGGGACTGGAAGCAAGTGGTATGAGGTGATATTCCAAGAACTGCCTCTGTGTGTATAGTCCAACATACGTGAAAAAACAAACAGAGTTTCATAAGGCAATGTAGGATAAAAACTCGCCCACACTCAGGTATACAGAAGCCTACATGACTGGAGAATGTGCAGACCGTAAACATCCTCTCCTATTGCCAGATAAAAGACACATACAATGCATCAGCACCATGCATTTATACTGCAGAAACGTATTGTGCAGAAGCTTTATGCATTTTTGTGGACAGACGCTCAAAATTGGGGAAAAATTTTTTTGGAATCAATGTAACAATTTTTACAGATTCTAAAACCTGTAAATTAGAGTATCTGATTCTATATACTTTCTAGATAAAAGTAGCGTTTATTTCGTTCATTTATCACAAAAATTGTAGAAATCACAGAATTGTGAGTAACATGATTACAATTTTTATTACTCTACAATGGCGGGTATTTAAATTAACTCCATCCCACTGCCACTACCGGAATTTAAATGGCCCATCCCTTAAAGGTTAATGACTTTTGTCACATTTCTGTGGAGTGACAATAGATGAGATTTGGACTGATAATTGGATTTATTGACCATTTACTGAATGTCACTACAAGTGATTATAGTACTATCACTAATTCACACTCTGCAGTTCACTACAGCATGTACTAAGTCTTCTCAGTCTGCCGTGTCTTCACCAATCGTCTGGTAACAGCTTCCAATGGCAGATGTTCCTCTTATGCTGGGTTCCCGAACTATCCTCGTACCTCAGCTTCCAGCTTCTAACAGCAAGAGCACACAGTGACCAAACTGCAGTTCTCTGACTAACTCACTAACTTACCACCTGACTCATCACTTCCCTGCACCGCACTGCACTAATTAACTCCCAGGCTGGCAGCCATCATTGTTGTAGTTCAGCTGTTACTTGTTAGGAATCTGTTGCTTAGCTGCAGGCATTGTTTACTGAGTCATTACTTAGAAATGGGTCCATGTGCTACACTATCTAAAGGTGGATACCAGATATTAAAGGAAATTTCACTATTTGTATATATGAATAAAATANTGAAATAAAATTCGCTGCATCGAATACGTCGAGAATTTATTTGTCGCGATATACGCCCAATACACGACAACTGGTGTCAGAAGTGGGATTAGAACTTCAACACGTGACCAACGAGATTCGTACTCAAAACACGCGACATTATTATGTTAAAGTTCAATGCTGTGAACTGTTGCCAGATGCACCCTTCTTGATGGCAAGTGTACCATACTACTTTATTTATTCCTGCCTCATGAATGGTTTTTATGGTGTCAGTGTGGTGGTGGTTGTGCTGTACTAATGTTCTTGAGAGATGAAATACTGGACCTTAAAGATCAAACCATATCATTGACTTAATCAGGATCAGCATAAATGAAGAATATATATATTTAGATAGTGACTTTACATCTTATTTTAGTATAAAGAATATACTGATAGAATGAACGCTATCAAGCTGTTTCATATGTTTTGAATTTTAAATTTATCAACCATACTGAAATAACTGGAACATAACATTTAAAATTTATTAGATTTTGTACTGATACAAAATAACACATGGTGAGACCAGGTAAAATCTCAGGATAATCTGTGAAGTACTTCTGATACTACATAATCATCTTTCAGTCCTCTCTAAGATGTACAGAAGGTGCGACCAGGCAACACATTGTCTCAGACTCAGCCCTTACCTTATTTACACACTTGTTTTCACTAAAAGATATAATGTCTGAAAATTGTGATGGACAAAGTATGTTAATATATACTATTCAGGGTGTAATTATACATGTTAGATTAAGATGATTGAAGTTGAATGTGACATAGCAGGACAGTGTGGATATTCGCACATACGGACTCACCATTATGATTCCCTGAGCACTGAGACAGAAGTGGCCATTGTTTTAATTTCAGCTAAGACGGTACAGAAGATTATTAACGCTGTCCACTGTGATTGATAATCACACTGGATGATGCTAATAATAATTTATACTATTACTAGTGTGACGGACCAGGATGAACCAACTCAGATTAACCAACACAGTTTTCATGGAATATTTACTGGATTGTTATGTGGCAACATAGTGTGGATATTCATGCCTATGGGCTGCACCATTCAATTTTTGATGAATATTCAGATGAAAATTTCCCTTGATAGAATTTTGACCAGCACATAATTTTTTTAAGAAATTGTGAAATTCCCTGTTCTTTGTTACCATAAGGCATTTAATTCAAAAAAATTTTTGTGAAAATAATGTGATCAAAATTTTACCAATGATAAAAATAGAGTACCTGGCCTTTGATAAATCAAGTAGGATAAATAGTGACAGTAATCACAAAGAAACAATATACCCCCACCACACACCATTCAAACAAAGTGGTCTGTCAACACTGTGTTACCATAATCTTGCAGCACCACTAGTTTCATTGTGTATATAAAGCAAGCAGTAGAGTGTTAATGAAATGGTGAAAACCAGTTGTTTAACATTGTACACAGTTTATGCAGTAATCTTGAAAGCATAATTCAACTGACATATTCAGGCATAACTAGTTTTCATAACCTTATAGGCAATGTCATGTTAAAACATACTTCCAATAAATTGTTTAAATACATGAATAATTTCTTACCTTAGGTCCTATGTGCCCTGCAATTCAGATCCCCCCAAAAATGTAATAAAGTGTGGTATACCATACTATAATCAGGAATCAGTAGTTTGTTAGCTTGTGTACCATCACGTATGGTGTGAAAGTCTTATATGTAAGTTCAAGCTTTATCATCTCAGAAGTATCCTGGATAAACATGCTGTTGTAGATAGTCCCAGTTGTATTTCATCCTGTTACTATAAACTAATTAAGTATGAAAAATTGGGCTCCAATTGTAATTTAATGTAACATTTTCCTTTGCTTCATCTCCAAACAGTCCTCTTCTATTACATTTTCCAAGCTTTTTGATTTACAGACTCCTTTCACACTCAAAAAAATTAAAATAAAATTAAAAGATGCAGATTTAAAAAGAACATAGAACAGTTCTACATCACTGATGTGTGTATACTACATGTTTCAACCAACATTGATTATCTTCAGGTGTCTGTAGAATTGCAGATGAGACTACTGTGCTTCCGCCTGTAAGTTCAGTTTTTGGGGGTATGCCCTCATCTTATACCCATGTATCTGTACATGTATTATTATTTTGTGTTTGACATGTGTTGGTGTTTTTTATGGTATACTTGTATATGTATTTACCCTATGGTGATGGGTAGTTCGTATTGTGTCATGTGTATCTGTTACAAATGTTTGCTAAGCTTGGTTGGTTCTGTTTTATACAAGGTGTGTTTGCTGCTGTGTAGTGTTTAATTCTTCTAATGTTTTGACTGTTGGGTTATATATGCCAATATACTGTCACATTTTGGGTGGTACGCATGACAAAATTACGGGTTCTAGATCAGATGACTAGATTTATTAGCATCTTGGTTACACACTCTCTTAGTTACACTTAGATACAGGAAATACAGCACTATCACTGATTTACACAATTTCCATTTTGCCGTTCCACATGCACTAGGATTCTCCATCTTCACTAGTCATCTCATGGCAACGGATCTCAACACAGAAATTAGCGCCTCAAATCATACCAAGTATTATACATAATTAAAGTCTTCTATATCTGTTTCCACTAGTTGTTGCTAGGTACAGATGTGAACTATGGCTAAGCCTTGACAGTATTTTCACTACCCGTTTCTTGTCAACAGATTTTACGCAGGAGCTATAAATGTCTCAATCTCAAACTACCAATATCACTGTACTACAGCACACATAAAGTCTTCACACGACGAACTTTCTGTGGCCATCTTCAACCGAGAACTCCTTCCCTGTCACCCAGACACTCTCAAATACTGAAATCTATTCAAGTCAAAGTCACATTGTGACTTGACAGTCAGTCAGTCTGTCTATCTTGGTGTCGAGCCCCAGCATTTTTTTTCTCCTTATATGAAAGTTACTGTCCTGTCCATTTGAGGCACCCTCCAAGTCCAAGTCACATTGTGACTGATGGTCAGTCAGTCTGCCTGTCTTGGTTTCAAGCCCCATCTGGGGCTCATGGCCAGATTTTTTTGTTTCTTCCTTATATGAAAGTTACTGTCCTGTCCATTTGGGGCACCCTCTGTCTGTAACTGTCATTATATAGCTTCCACACTGACCACACAGAAAACAGCCTATATTGTTGGAACATGTTTACCAAGTGATTGCATAGCGACAGTTACAGCACGGACTCCATAGAAAGCCAGTTACCGGGTAGCTACCACTGTTGTGGTTTGATGTCATTGCACCTGCACAGAAGTCTGGTTACTGAATCATTGCCTAGAAGCAGGTTGCATAACCTTGTTCCACTGTTGCCAGCATGTATCGCATATGTTTACCGGTTCATTACCCAGCAACCCTCTGGCCATCCACATTACAGTATGCTTCAGTCATGTGTAGTCTGCATTTACTAATTTTATATGTGTGGTTTTTTCTAATGTATTTAAGTGTTTTCATTTTTTCTGTTTTAAGGATGTTCATTGTATTGGTTATAATTCCATATGTGTGTCCTGTGTTCAGCATGTGTTTTGAATATCCTGAATTGCTATTTTTATTTTGAATTGCCTGTATGTGTTCTTTATATCTGGTGTAAAATGTTTGGCACGTTTGCCTGCATTTTTTAGTAAGTTGTCTATTTCATCTGATAAATGCCACTTTTTCATATTTGTGTGTTTGTGGATGGGTTTTACTATGTATTGTATTGTGTTTTGTGTTTGACTGCTGCTTGTATTTGTACTTTTCATGGTTTTTCTTTACCATTGTGTGTGTGAAAGTGGCCCATTTGGTGGTTTTCTGGTGTAGTGGGTTGGTGTTTGTATTATGTAGTGTGTCTTTTATGATGTTTAGTTTCATTTCCTATGCTTATTGTGTTATTGGTTGTGTGTGCACTCTATTCATTAGATAGTTAATACCTGACATTTTAGGTTCACATGGGTAGCAGAAGTCATTTGGCATTGTGTTGCTAGTCTGCATATGTTTTTTATATATTTTGAATTCTAGCTTTGTTTTCTTACAGCGCATTATAAAGATCCAGAAAATGAATGGCGTTCTGGTATTTTTTGATGATGAATTTTTTGCTGGTTCATTGTTTATTGAATTTGGCTAGGGTTTCGTCTGTGTTTGTTTTCTTTTGGTTGTAAATTATGAAAATATCGTCAGTGTATCTAAAGTATCCAATTACTTGATATTTAATTAAAATTAGATATATTTGTTTATGTTCCATATGTTGGATATATGTATGTTTGGGCTAATATTGCAGATGTTGGGGTACCCATGACAAATCCAGTAATTGTCAATCCAATCCCACTTCTGACAACAGTTGTCACATATATGAGTGATTACTCTTTACAAATTACAGTCACACACAGACTAGTAGTGTTCTCAGTCCGTTACCCTCTCCCTTAGCCATTTCTTGGTAGCAGCAGCTTCCAAGAGCAGACTTTCCCCTTCCTCTGGGTTCCTGAACTGTCCCTGTCTCAGCTACTGGCTTCTCACAGCAACAGCTCACATTGACTGAACTGCAGTCCTTTAACTAACTCACTGATTCACCAACCAACTCTTCACTAACTCCACTGACTGACTCTCTCCACTAACTGCCACCTCAATACAAAGTCAGAGTTCTGTTTCAATCGATGGTCAGTTGACCAGCCTGGCTTGGTGTCAAGCACCCATCTGGGTCCCAAAAACAGATTTTTATTACTGTCACTCATTTGCCCGTTTATTAATGTGGGGCACCATCTCTGGCTAGAGGGCGTGTATGTCGTTTGTAATTGCTGTTGGTCCTCATCAGTGCAGTTGTTCTTGGGTCCAGGTCCCTCAGGACTCATGACCATATTCTACTGTTTTAGATTTGAGACTCCCCAAACCTGTAGGGCCAGGCCCCTGCCTTGTATATCCCAGAGAAACAGGGTGGCCCAGTTATGACCCCAAGTGTGTTCCCTTTTCATTGCCTCCTACAAGTCACAGGGCCACAGTGGGGGTGTTCAAACCAGTCTCCATGCTCCCTGCACTTGCTACAATATATTAGATAATAAATTTTTTTATATTCATTATTTTATTCAGTTAAATTATTCCATTCAATATTAAAATTCTAAAGAAAAATACAATCCAGATTTGTAAGGTTCGTTAATTCTGGTAATGCCTGCTACTATTCAGATCAGAGCTCTTTGTCTCCTCATCTGCTCTCTAAAAACATAAATTTTAAATATATAAATTCATTCTGCCTATAGTTTTGTGTGGTTGTGAAACTTAGTCACTAACATTAAGAGAAAATAATAAACAGGGAGTTTGAGAAAAGGGTGCTGAAGAGAATATTTGCATCTGAAAGAGATGAAGTGAGAAAATTTTGTAATGAGGAGTGCCATAAGTTGTACTTGCCAAATATTACTACAGTGATCAAGTGAAAGGGGATGAGATGGGTGGATATGTAGCATGCTTGGAGCAGAGATTAGGGCAGAAAACCTGAAGGAGAAAGACCACAAGGAAGATAGGTGTAGAGGAGGAGGGTTAGTATTAAAATTGATCCTAGAGAAATAGGATTGGGGGGTGTGAATTGAATTCGCCTAACCCCCAATTGTTAACGTGGTAATGAACGTCTGAGTTCCATAAATGCTGGGAGTCTGTCTGAATGAGCAACTCTTCTCAAGAGTGACTTAGCTCCATGAAGTTAGTTACATAGTTAAGGTTCATTATATTGCTTCAGTTATGTTATTTCATTCAATATTAAACTTTTAAACATGATTATATTTTAGATTCATAAGATTTATTATAGTTCTGCACTTATTTTATTACTTTTGATATATCATTAAATTCAGTATTTATCTTGTTAGGAAGAGTGTATTTCAGATTCTTGAGTTTTGTCATTCTGCTTAAATTAATATGTGGAAATCTCAGTACTTTTGCCTGCTGTATGTAAGTTATAATACATGTATTATGTAACTGAAAAACTATATTTTCTGTAGCTTTCAGATATAAGGTGTGAACAAAGTTATGAGGTTGAATACAAATATGTATGATGGACCCAGAATTTTCCCTCAAGTTCACCTATCATCAGCTTTCCTAAACAATTATGAATATATATGTTATAGTTCACAATGTCCATTGCATTTCCATGAGGATATATGGATTGATGCATCATTGAGAAACACTCATAATGATGATGAGTGAAGTGATATTAATTAGTCGCATTTCTAAAGAGGGAGCAGGAACCGCTGCAGTACAAGAGATCAGGGTGGCAAAATGATTCATTATTGTTCTATGAACTCCATTTTTTTGGGGAAGCGCAGTACGCCTAGGCTAGGATAGTGGATAGAAGCTAACTTTCTTACCGACAGTGCACTCGGAAATGGTTGCGGCCATTTTCCAGCGATAGCGTGAAAGTTGAAAATAGATGGTAGTATAATGAATTTAGTACGTCATGGTGCTAGGTTGACAGGCAATAAAGGCAAGTTTCACGCAGCTGTTATATTCGTGCATATTACTATTCGTTTCTGTTCCGAAGGCTGTGGGCAGTGGCGAACGGTGGTGAATAGGTTGGTTAATATTTTATGTAGGGTTATGGCGGTTACGACAGTTGTGGTGCATAATATGAATATATGAATATCCATTCCTCGGGGAAAAAGTGTGTAAGTTATGAAGTCTCCCAATTCCAATCATACTCTAACCAGACACACACATAATAGTACGTCATTCGGCAGTGAGGAAATATTAACGGAATTGCCCATAGATCATCAGAAACGAAGATACCCATTTTCGATTGTGTGGACACCCATTCCACTTCTAACGTAAGTGATATGAAACCCCGTAACTTAGTATAATGTGATAATCGTATAAATACATATACAATACATTGAGCCCATAGGCGACTCCACGAATCCACAAGAAACAACCCAATGTCGGGAAGGTGCGAATATGTTAGTATGGTGAAAAACGATACCCAATTTAGAATTGTTAGCAAGAGCAACCGCAGGCCCAAACTCAGTTACTAGTTGGGGTGTTGAGCGTGGTGATGGATGGCGTTACTCATGTAAAAGTTCTTTCTTAGTTCTAGTAACCATAGGTCCAGATTCAGGGAGTAAGGATTGTTGAGATGATTAGAATAATCCTTAATGTAATAACAATAAGTCTGCCCATTGACAGCTATGTAGTATTTTTCTTCCTCTTCCTCTATGTGTGACAGCCTGAAGTCGAGCCTTGGCCTCCTTTAAATGACGCTCAAAATTTGGCTGCTTGCAGTTTCTGCTCTTTTATTTCTAACTTTAAAGTGTCTGCTGTCCTTTCCCACTTCATTAAACCATGTTTTTTTGGTCTTTCATACAAGCCTCTTTCTAATAATGTTGCTTTCAAGAATCCTTTTTTCTTTCTCCATACATTGGACATGACCTGCCCAATTTTGTCTTTTTAATTTAATATTTTATATGCCTGGTTCTTCATGTTCCTTATACAGGAAGGTTCTAAAATGTGTTGGCCAGTTCACTGCTCTGCATTTCCCAGAGACTGGTGCACCGCCGACTGCAAGACACATACAAATTTCGCCAGTGAGTCAGTATGCCTGATGACTGATAAGGATAGATAGATTACTTTTAAATCATGAATTTAAATGTATTCAGTCTGTAGTTGGAAGACTCTTGAGGAAAACATAGCCACGTTTTAAGCAAACAGAATTGTTAATTTTGAAGAGTATTTATCTTGTTAGCAATGACTTGCTGCTCCAAACACCAGTCCCTGTTGTCAAAGCATCATTGTGTGCTGGAGGTGTAGAAATTGAAAAGAAAATAATATTTATGGCATATTTGTTACTTCCTATAGTATAATTGACTAAAGATAATATTTATTTTATTCTTGTCATTGCAACACTGTTTTCAGCAGATGGGGTTGCTGTCTTAAGACAGCATGTTTCAGCATGCATACCACCTTCAGGTCCTGTGTCTAGATACAATTGTATAGCGCATCTAGGGTAAATTTACACATTAGCTGAGTGGGCCCAGTGGTTGTATTGTATGCTGTGTATACTACATATTATATGCTGTAATAAGCTGGCTTGTTATTTCTGTTGGTTAACATTGTACTTTTATTGGAAGTTGCAGATTTTAATGTTCTGTGTGGCCCTGAACACACTTGCTCTGTCCGTTTCACATACATCCTTTGTTCCAGTGTTCTTTCTGTGGAGAAATGTGACAAAATATGTTGTCTTAGACAGCAGTGCCATTCACTGAAAATAGCATTATGTTAGCAAGAATAAAATATTAATCATCCATAAAATTGATAAGGCTCCTAATTATTAGTATGTTCATTGTTTGTAAGATTTCTTACTTCAGAATCATATTTATATAGGAAAAGCTTATGAAGCTGCGCTAACATTTTTTGGGCAATCAGTCATGTCAATGTTGAGTTGAGGATATCTCTGAAGGATTCGTTTTAACTAAACATTGACACAGCTTATTGCCTGAGGAGATTTTAACACATTTATTTGCCATGAAAGATTCAAATTTTACTTCTGTAGCTGTGTTTTCTGTGTAAGGGGAAGCTGTGGTTGGCAGTGGAAACCTGTTCTGGGTTTGATAAGTAAAAAATGTAACTTTCAGAAACAATTTTTCAGATGGCTGTTTCCATTTATTGGCCACATGGGAATTGCCATGTCATCAGGCATAATACGAGATTTTGCGGGTCCGTACTTTGTGTCTGAAGATAACATGGCATTTGGATGCCCAACAAAGTATTGGCAATTACGACCCCACCTTGCAAGAGGGGGCCAGAATGGATGGGATCATGCTGTTACTCAGGCTTCAGAAGAGTACAAAACAAGGATGGTTAGAATTTTCCTTCTAGCCTAATTTCCACATATTTTCGGTAATGGTGTGCTCATGTATTTGCTTGCATGAACATGCAGATTTTGCTACTGCTGCATCCAGTGACTTCTTATGCATGAAGCGGTTTCAGTTGCGGGGCTTTAGCTTGACCCACTCCATATCCTTCATGCCTTTTGTAGTGGTGATAACAGAGAATGAAAATTACCATTTTTCACTACAGTTAGTTTCTTTATAATTGTTTATCTGACAGAAGACCTTCAGCAGGAAGGGTAGGAATTTCTGGGTGTATGTTCATATGGGTAGCCAGGTAATCTTCACATTTAAAAAATTAAAATATCATTTACTAGAATGAAAAGATGAAATGATTATGTGAAGTCAGAATAGGCTTAGTTGCATATGCAGGAGGTGGAGAAAATAATGGAAACACTAAGAAATTGAGGAATATAATTTGTGTTGGCTACATTGAAAGAATTTCAATTGGCAACACTGAATGTTCTTCTTCTTATTGTTTATACTGTAGTGTAGGGTGATAGGTGAAAAAATATTCTGGTGGAAAAGTTCGCCTGTGTGGTTTTATGAATGGAGGAATGGAGAAGTCTTTAGTTATAAGGAGAGCAACTAAACCATGAGGTTTTAAAAAAATCTACATAAAGAAACTTACTGTTAACTGGAATTCTATGAAGAAAGCCTGGGTGACATCTCATTCATTCATTTAGTCACCTTCCATAAATCCTGTCAAGAATGCATTCTTATGCGGATGTGGAGATCGTCCTAGTTACAGTCACAACTAAGAATTACAGTTGTCATCCAGTAGCATACACATTTGTAATAAGATACTGATAAACATATACAATATAATAAATAAGTTAATTTTAGTAGTAAAAGTAATGGCAAACCTTATACAATTTGTACAGTTTTATAAAAGTCTAATTAAAAATTCAGTAGTTAAAACACAATGTCATTAATGAGTATTGTATAACGTACATGTACATTAATAGTATAATAAATTTAAATAAAGACTAGTATACAGTGATATAAAAATTGTGTATATCTAAAATAAGTAACTAAAAACTAGAACACAGGCTGACAATCTTGTCTTCTTTAAATTGTAAAGTAAGACGGTTTCTTGCATCTTAAAAAGATTTATAACTTAACTATTCCTGTAATGAATAAAAAGAATGTAAATATAAAAATTGTTTTAATTGTACCTCAAATCTCATTGTGTCACTCGATATATCCTTAATATGTTGTGTTAGATCATTATAGACCTTTATTCCAAAACAATAAACTCCCTTTTGGTATTTACTCAAATTTACAAGAGGTTGATGGAGATTATCTTGCTGTCTGGTATTCTTCCTATGAATCTCTGAATTTACTATGAATTTGTTTCTGTTTATCACAAAGAGCATAAGAGATAGTATATACTGAGATGCCAGAGGCAAGATTTCTCATTTTCTAAATAGGTTTCTGCACGAATCCCTCCTTCTGCATCCCAACATAATTCTATTCTTTTACATTCTAAATATTTTTATACTTTGGGGTGAGTTACCCCAAAAGGGTAAACCATAATTTATAGTAGAATTAAAATAAGAGTGATAGGCCATTTTTAAGGTATTTATGGACATGTATGGTTTAAGAGATCTTATTATGTAGCAGACTGCACTTAGTTGTGAACTAATATATTCAATGTGGTATTTCCAGCTCATTATATCATCAATGAATATTCCAAGAAATTTAATATTGGATATAGATGTAATTTGTTTTTTATCATATACAATTTTTATTTCAGATTTAGGATTTTTATTTCTAGCTGTAAATTGAATGTCAAGCAGGAGGCAAAATACTGCGTTCTAAGATCCACAATCTGATTACTTCTATTTGGCATAAGGAAAAATTGCCTGATCAGCGGAAGGAGTCTATTATTGTACCAGTTCACAAGAAGGGTGATAAAACTGACTGTAGTAATTATCGGGGGATATCACTGCTATCAACTTCATATAAAATTTTGTCCAATATTCTTCTCTCAAGGTTAAGTCCATATATAGATGAAATTATTGGGGATCATCAGTGTGGGTTTCGACATAACAGATCAATTACAGATCAGATCTTTTGCATTCGTCAGATATTGAAGAAGAAATGGTAGTACGATGAGACAGTACATCAGCTATTCCATAGACTTGAAGAAAGCCTATGATACACTTAGGAGGGAAGTATTGTACAGAATTCTAATAGAGTTTGGGATACCCATGAAACTAATTAGGTTGATTAAAATGTGTTTAAATGAAACGTATAGTAAAGTCCGTGTAGGTAAACATTTGTCTGATAAATTTCTTATCCAGAATGGTCTAAAACAAGGAGATGCTTTATCGCCACTCC